ATATAATATAATAATTAACTATAAAACTAAATATTATTTAAATAAATTATAAACTAAATTAATAAATTAATTAATAAAATCTAAAAGTAAATTCAAAAATTATTATTATTTAAAAGTTTATATATATATAAAAAATTTTTTTATAAAACTTTAAAATATAATAAATAATTAATTATAAATAGTATTGAAATCATAAACACTTATAAAGTTATAAATATTTATGATTATTTTAACTATTAATATTTAAATTTTAATATTAAATTATATATATATAATTAAATAATTTAATTATTAATATTTTTAATTATTTTAAAAAAATAAATATAAAATAAAAAACATATTCTTTTAAATAGAAAAATTTAAGAAATTATATAAAAAATAATTTTATAAATAAAATAAAAATAAGAAATAGAAGTATGTTTATTGCACCAAGCCCTATTTCCTAATTCAGTTAGTTAATATGGCTAAGCCGTGATAATATTAAAATTTGTTAAAATTTAATTTATTTGATATTAAATTGAACAATTTGATTAAAATCTATTCTAAAAGAATAAATTAAATTAAAATAAAAGTTTTTAATTATTTTTTATTATATAAAGAGTAAAATCAAATTTATTATATTATAGTTATTTTTTTTTTTTTTATTAAATTATTTTAATAGTTTTAGGATACTAAAAATTAATTATTATTTTGGTTTAAAAAATTTATAATAATTTTTTTAATTATTTTGAAAAAATAATTATTAACTTAAAGTTAAAAAAAATAGAATAGAAAGTAAATCTTGTAAATATTATTAATTAAATATTTATTAAACTTAAAAAGTATTATAATAATACTTATTATTTAAAAGGTTTTTTTTATAATTTAGGTTATATAATTAATCTAGTTATTAAATTAAATTTTTATATAAGTTTAAATTAAAATAAAAATAAATTCAATAGAATTTATAAAAATATTTATAAAAATAAGTTTCTTTATTTTTATAATAAACAATATACTAAATATAAAAAAAAGATATTTTAGAATTTCAAAATTTTATTTTTATTAATAAATCTATTGTTTTAAATCAACAATAATCTAATATCAATTCTAACAATCTTACGAATATTTTTAACATCAATTCATTTTTTGGTTTTTTTAATTCTTCTTTTAATACTCCCTCAAACTCAAAACACAATAAAACAAAACAATTTTTAGAAGAACCATCTATTAATATCAAAAATCCATTAAAAAATTAAAAATTACTAAAAAAAAAAATATTTAATTCTTGCAATAATAACTAAAAACATTTTAGTAGTATTTATTACATCAATAAATCCGAAAAGAATATTTAATAAAACTAAAGATATTATAACATATCAACAAAGTCAACTACAACTAGAAACTATACATCAAACTATAATTACTCAATTATAATAACAAAAACAAAAGAAATTTACTCCTAATCCTATTTCTAAAAAAAAAATCTTTAAAAAAAAAATATTAATAACAGAAATAACATTAAATAATATAACTACAATATCTAAAAATAAAAAAAAAATAATCATAAAAATAATAATTATAATTCAACAATTAAAATAAACAATAAAATTTTTTATAAAAATAAAAAGAAAAATATCTTTAAATTAAAAAAACATTCTACTACAATTACACAAAAAACAATAGTAAAAAAAAGATTTAAAATAAAAAATTAATTTTTATACTTAAAATATTAATTTAATACATTTTATAATACTTAAAACTCAAAATAAATTAACATATTAAATTACCATATAAATATTTCTATTTTTAATAAATTTATAAAATTTTACAGCAATTTTTTAAATAAACTCAAAAATTTTTAAAAAATTACGTAAAACAATTTATTATTATTTTTAAATCCACCAGAGCAATTTGGATTTAAAATTTTAAGTCCATAAGTCTATGCAGAGTGGTTTGACAAAACCATAAAACTGTTCTAAACCACTTCATCCTCACACTAGGTGATGGGGATAAAAAAAATAGAAAAAATAAAAAAAATAGAAAAAATAAAAAAAATAGAAAAAATAAAAAAATAAAAAAGATAAAAAAAATAAAAATAGAGATAAAAGTAGAAATAGGGATAATAAAAATGAAGTATATTAAATATGTTATTGTAATTATAAAAGACGAGTTTATTTAAGATGATGTTATTATATTAAATAATGTTTTTTTATATTTAATTTTTTTTTTTTTATAATTACATTTTCTTATAGTTTTTTAAAATTCAAAGTTATTATAATATAATAGAATGATATTGTTTTAAAATGTATATTGTTGGACATTATCGTGTAGAAAGTATAAGAAGGTTGAAAATTTGGTAATAATTTTTAATGGGGTATTTGATTTTGAAAACTGCGGTAAAACTAGGTGTGCGCGCAAACTAGGTGGAATACGTTATATTAACTTGAATAAATTTAAATTTTATAATAGTTAATTAAATTTTATTTAAAATTTTTAATTTAATTTCATTTTAATCCATTTTTTAATTAAGTTTTATAAATAAATTTAAAGTTGTTTTAGTTATAAATTAATTTTAAAAAAACTAATTTAAAACAATTAATATTTCTTTAATATATATTAAATATTTTAATTTTGTTTATTTAAAACTTAATGTTTATTACATTACAAAAAATTTATACCCAAATAGTAAAAAGATTTAAAAAATCTAGAAAAAAATATTCATCTTTTATAACTTTATTCAAACTTTTCTTTTAAAGATTATTTAACTTTAAATTAAATAATATTTCTTAAATTTTTAAAATTATATAACAAATACTATTCAAAAGATTGTTAAATATAAATATATATTTTTTTTATGCTAAATAAGTTTAACAAGAAAAAGTTAAATATTTCTTAAAAAAAAAAAAAAATTTTTTTTTAGAAAAAGATTTTTTAAAATATAAATTTATATATGTATACATTTACAGCAATCTAATATTAATTTTTAATAAATTATTATATTGCCAATTTTCTTTTCTTTAATTATTTCTTAAGTATTAATTAAATATCATTATAATATTTTTAATAATTTTTAAATTAAAAATCTGTTATTTTATATTAATATTAATAGTATAACTATTTATTGGGTTATTATTATTATTTAAAAAGCTTTAAAGAGACTAAAAATTGGTTCTATAGATTTTAGTTATATTTTAAAATCTTTAAATAAATAATATAAGTATATAAGATTTATTTTGAAAAATTTTAGATTAATATAGAATTAAAATAAATTAATATATTATATATTTTTAATTTTAAAATAATTATTAATTATTTTATTAAATTAATATTATATTATTGTTAATAATATTAATTAAATAAAAACTAAATGTATATAAAATTTTTATAAATAAATATTATATTATTAATATATTAATAAAAAATATAAAAAAAGATTAATTTTAAAAAATACTTTATTTTAATAAATTAAAAATATTAATAATATTAAAATAGTAAAAATATAAATTTATAAAAAAATTATACAAATTCAAAAAATATTAATATAAATATATAGAAAGTTAATGGCCTTTTTCTTCTTACTTTTAATTTTGAACTTAATATTTTAAATAAATAGCCTTTTTTTTTAAATAATTTAATAATTTTATAATTTTGTATATATTTTTTTCATAATAATATCTGTAATTAGAATTGTAAAAATATCTAACTATTGATTTAATATTTATTTTATTTTTTAGTAGTATTTTACTATCTGGAATAATTTTATATAGGATTTCTGTAGATGTAAATAAAATATGTATATTAGATAAAACATATTTATAGGATATAGATAGTTGTGTAAAATATAAATAATTTTATAAAATGAAAATGGTTATATAAAATAGAAATAACTGTGTAGGATGGAAATGGTTGCATAAAATGAAAATGGCTATATAGGATAATAACCCCTGCGTAGAATAGTAACCCCTGCATAAGATAATAACCCCTGCGTAAGATGCAAGCCTTTTATAGGATGAAACATGTTTTATCCGAAAAGTAGATTTTTATTTTACCCATCTTGTCCATCTTGCTATCGGATGGGCAAAATAGAGCGCGATGGAATTATATTTTTTTCCTGATGAACAATTTAATTATAACTATTCTATCTATTATTTAATAAAGATGGTATGATTTTATTGGAAAACTTTTTAGATAAGACAAAAATTACACAGAAGAGCAATAAAAATCCAAAAAAAACTGACATATAAAATGAGAAAACCTAAAAATTTAAAAGATAATAAATTATAAAATTCCAGAGATAAATAATAAATCTTAGATATTACACTAAAATGGATAAATAAGAACAACAAACTCACAACATTATTCTTTTTATAAAAAGAAGAAATATAAAAAAAATAAGAAAAAACTTTTAAAACAAAAACAAAAAACAAAATAAAATAATAATAAAAAGTATTTTCTATATTTTATTTTATTTTTTAGTTTACTATCTATTTTAATATTTACTTATAAAAATAAAATAAAATGCGAAAATCATGTATTAGAATAGTTTCTTTAAACCACCATAACCAAAAGGTTGCATACGTGTATGATAAATAATAATAATAATAATGAATTCTTTAATTAATTCTCTACCCATACACATAGTTAGTGGATTGCAATCTTATAGTTCCCGCCCAGCTATTGTAACAGAATCACTGTTTTTGTCATTATAGCCCGGCGGTTTTGTACTTCTACAATATATATATATTATCATATGAAAATTAAACAATATTTGATATTATTTTTATAGTAATTATAAAATAGGAGGTTAAACGTTTTATTATTCTTTCTTTTATTAAGAATCTACTAACCTACATATCTTCTATATAAATAAACGCTCTTTTATATTCTAACGAGTAACGAGTAGAATCATAGATATGCCGGTATATCCCCCCACAATAATCCCACATATATTACTTAATTTACTACGATAATACGGCGTAGCAAAAAGGGAAAATAATAGTAGCCATCACATTTTCAATTTATATATCAAATATTCTACTATAGGTGTCATCGTACGCAAGATATACATCAATAAGATTGATTCGATGGCCCCTCCAGCTCTCCAATTCCTTTCTGGCCCGCTGGATTAAAGACCTTCTTTCCTGGTCTCCTTCTGGCGTTGCAAGTGGGTGATCTAGAATGTTTTGGCTTTGTGTAGTGTTTCTTGCAACAGTCTGCAAATCGATGTCTAGGAAATCGTGGGAGTTCTCGTCTGCTAACACCTGTCTCCAGAGATGATCTTTTGGACCCAATTTATTGCCTTCTGTGTCTCCTTGAACCCGATTCGAGTTTCTGACTTCGCCATTCCCACCCCCTTCTCTTGAATCCACTCCTGGTAGGTCTGTATTTATGGGCAAGTCGGTTCTGTTTAACGACCCGTGCAAACTGGACTTTAACTCGGCGAGCCTCAGCTGCATACCCGAGTTTTCCCTTTGGGCATTGGACAGCCTCTTCTCTATATCCCGGTATCTTGCTTCCATATCCCTCTCGGAGGCTCGCAATTCCTGATTCGACTGTTTAAGCTGATCTACTGTTGACTTCATTACATCGAGTTTTTGGTTTAGCTCGATTATTGTTTGCCCCTGTGAACGAGACTTTTCTTCCCAGGCCGAGTTTTTGGCGCTATCCGACGTAACGGATTCCGTGAGCCTACTTAATTTATTGCTGAGGTCATCCGTATTTCTCGTTGCTGTTTCAAGTTCTACCTTCATTGACTCTACAAGCGTCTCTAGGCGGTCACGCTCTAACCTCAGGGTATCTGTTGATGCAACGGAAGCTTCAAGTTCTGCCCTAGACTTCGATAGCTCAACCGACATGCTCTCTATCCGTTCTTCTTGCTTTACTGTTTCGTCAGATCCCGGGGAGCTTAATGTAGAATTCCGTCGCATGTCGATGATGGTCTTATCTTTTTGCGCTATCTGCGATTGGAGGTGAGCTATTTGACGGCTCAACGACGCTACTTCCATCTTCTTCAATATGTTAGAAATGTGTGAATATATATGTGGAGATGTGAGTATTTGGCGTACGAGAGCGTTCACTTCCCCAGCTCCTTCGAGTAATGTAGCTTGCTCCACCCCACTCTTTTCTTTGAGAAGTTGCAATTCCTCTGATACAGACGCTAGATCCTCAAGCGCCTTGTCCCTATCAACAATTGCTTTGCTGCATTCTTGTGCTCGTACTTGGAGGGTTTTCACCTCGTCAAGTAATTGTTGATTATCGGTTCGTAGCTCATCGATTACAGAAGCTTGTTTTCGGTATATCTCGGGGAGCGTTTCGAGTAAAGCCTCGTTGGTGGTGGTGCTATGGGATTCCGGTTGTCCATTGTCCGCACGGAGCTCATTCAATTGCTCAGTATCTTTGTCCTTAATAGCGTCTTCGCCGTCTCCAATAGCTTGTATCTGGTCCGTATTTGTGAGCCCTTGTTGCTTTACATCATTCCCACCACTTTCTGTAGTAGTAATATCATGGTGCGATGCTTCTAAGAGAGGGCTGTTGTTAGATGGAGGCTCTTTGGCGCTGCCGGATGCCTTCTTGTTTGGCTGTTTCTTCCGCTTGAGCTCTTCAAACTGTCGTGACTTTAGTAGGCATTATTGCAAACACAAGACTCCTCTAAAGAATGCATACACGTTTCTTAGCTGCCGCAAGCTTCTCGGCCTTTTCGTTTTCGGTGTCGACCATCCTCTAAAGTTGTCATCAATTTGCTTGTTCCTTGTTTAGGTGTATCCTGGGTTAGTGGGACAACAGATAGCAACTCACTTAAGTACCTATACAGAAAGGTTTTTTTCTTCCTCTATTTTCTCTTCACACTTCTGTTTTTCTAGTGGCGTCTTGGGCGGGTATGGGCTACAGATCCTCCGTACGGTTTGTTTGTAGCTTGCGGGATCAAGGTAAATGAATGTTGAGTTGTGACTAGTTAAATTTTCGAATCGAGGCATATGTGGCAAGGAGCAGCATAGTAGCAAAATACCCTTCATTCATTTTATAATACATCGCCAATATCACAGGAGAAATAGAGCTATGAACTGAGAATCGACAACATGCAGAACCAAATGCAATTCCATGGCCAACAATCTCACAACAATGGAAACCCGGCTCTTCTGAACCTCCTCCCAAATTCAGGTCATCAAACGGATCTCAACCATCTCTGGACACAGCTACAGGAGCTCTCACAGCTGCTCTCCATCAACAGAGAAAGTGCTGCCAAACTTGTTCAAAAAGCTGATGAGGCAAAGGTGAGTTTGCTGGCAGTTTTACGTGGGGTGGACTTCGCTGATCGCAGGTAAGGTGAGGGCGACCCCGGAAGAAGGAAGCACGCATCTACGGGATGCTCAACAAGAGAGCAAAGGTATCAAAAAAAAAAAACCAAGAAAACCGGCGTTGACGACTAAACAGAGCCGTGATAATGGCTAATAAATACCTGCCTTCAAGATGACGTCCAATCCCAAAACCGTATACTCAGAAAGGAAAATGCCACCCTTCTAGCGGAAAACGAGGATTTGTCAAGTCTAGTAAACGATTACGAGTCGGTGCTGGAAAAGGTTTTAGAAGGCTTGAGGATCTTTATTGTCCGTGTACCTGATCTGTGTTTCAAGAAGCCTGGCAACCTCAATAGATATTAACAAGTGGTGATAGCACGAACAATCGATATCCACAATCAACATCCATCAAAGCTATGCGAGCCAACTTGCAATAGAGAGACAGGTAAATGCAGACCTTCGTCAGGAAGCTGCAGAATTCCAAGCACGCCTTGCGAAACTAGGGGCTTTTCTTCGGATGGCTCATGAGAATGAGAGTTCCCTGGGTCCCGATGTTGTTATTGAGGAATTAAAGGCCGAGAATATGGCTTTGCGCGATGCTTTGGGTGTGAAGCTAAAGGAGATGTAATATCCATATCTCGGGATGTAGGTACCTACTTACCCAGGTATCAAGTATGTGTGTGCGGAGTACCTGCACTATGAATGCCCATACGTGCTGAACATTGGTCTGTTTCGAACCAGTTTCACGGAGGGAGGAATTACGAACCAATTAAATCTTGTAATCAACCGCTTCAGACTGACCCCCTTGCTCCTGGATTCCCTCAAAGGCCAATGAAAATGCAGAATTAATCGACATGGTGGATTCAGCATGGGTATAATTACCTTTTTAGGCTTAGAAGCAGAATGAAAATTAAACCTTCACATACTCGAAGTAGTAGGATACTAAAATAGATTCTATCTATCCCCTTTCCTTCCGACCTAGTCTGGCACTAGGAAAGAAGAAAAAGGGTTTTCCCTTTGACCCAGGTTCTGTTGTTCTATCCCTTATTTCTTCCTACCTCGAAACACCAACCCTTCCCTCTTATTAACCCGACTCTTCTCTTCCTTTCCACTTCACACCCCTTCAGTCCTCTGTGGTGGGTTACCTATTTTACTTGTAACGGCTGTGGTTCTCTTTGATATCTATCTCTTCTGCTCTTTAAAATCTTTCAGCTGAATTACTTACTGCCCATTACTCATTATTTTCTTCTTGCATAACTACCAGGTCGATACTTTTTTTTTTCCCTCTCATTTCGAAGCAGTGCCGCAATCACAATAACAGACCGACTATCCACAGCGTGGAATCAAAACATCAGATCTTGTCCTATCGTTCTCTTTCGGTTTAAAATATTGAAATCTATATTTTTATTTATTTATTTATTTTCACTTTTACATCCCTATATATACTTATACACACACACACACGCACGCACGCACACCCGTTTTTCATTTCTATTATTATCGGATGCTTAGATCATACCCCCTTCACTCGATCTGATTATACACACTTAATTTTATTGTAACTTGATTTCGCCTGTGGCGGAATCCTAAATCCATATCTTATATCCTCCAGCCTCCCGCGAAGCTTTCATCCCGCACAGGCCGTCTCATAAACTACTACATACCTTCCCGTACGCTCTTTTAGCGACAACAATCTCATTGCAGGACTAACGATGCTGAGCATCGACGCTGGACGACCCGCAACAATGTCTTATTCTTTCCAACAACACCAAATTCCCGGCAACATGCTTGCCAACGGTTTCGGTGCCAGTCGGGGCAAGCCGGATGCCGTGAATAAAATACCTATACCGAAACTTCCTACGATATCGGCTTCGTTGTACGATGATCCGAATGCCCTGTATCCCCCAACCCCAACTGCACGCTCGTCAGGCCGAGCGCAACTGCTTGCTGGTCTTCGTACGGCCCCGAAAACGCCAATTGGTTCCGAATATCCTAGTATCGGGCATTTTGATGGAGAGTTCCAAGGCGAATTACAATCCGGAGCTGGAAATTTGAATTTTTTGATGAACCGAAACGAACGAGCATTTGGAAACGATCCCCCAAGGCATCAATTAGCGCACTCAGGGCACTTGCATGCCTCGAGGCCTTCTCTTCCTCAGGACCATTTCAACAACATCCAATTCAGTAACTTCGGAGGTCTTCCGACCCCTCCGACTTCCTCTCATTATGTTTACCAGGGAGACCAAGATTATGAAGCTCAGGCGTATGCGGACCTTTTAGCCCGGAACATATCGCTTGCACAGCAGCAACAGCAGCATTTTATCCAGCAGCTCAGGTTAGCACAACAGACTCAACAGTTACAGCAAATCCATCAACAAATGCAGCCTCTTCCGATACAGTCCGCGATGTCACAAGTCCTTGGAACCCCCCCAATAAGCCCAGCTATATACACTCCTACGGCCTCCAACCTATCCCAAGGCCACTCAATCTACAACCCCAATGTTCAAACAAACGTCCAGGGCTTTACTTCGCAACAGAACCGACATAAACAGGGTGGGTTCTCCGCTCTGGCTCAATCAGAGCAAACAGCCTTGACATCCATGACCTCTCAACTTCGGATCTCGCCTTCACCACCTCTGGGGAGACCCACAACCCGGACCCCCCCCTCGAGGTCAACCCCGTCTCCGACGAAAGAATTCAACGCGCCGGAGAGGGTTATGGCGAAGAAAACACCGAGCCCGCCACCCGCGTCCGCATCAACGTTCCGTCGCGGCCACAAAAAGTGCATATCCCTTTCTGGCTGCAGTAATATGAACCCGACGTTGGACGGAGGACCCAAAACCTCCATCCCAAGGCTATCAGGGGTTCCATCGACCCCTTTGAATTCAACTTTTGGCGGCCGGGGTGATCACCCGATCCGACAACCCCGTGGTCCTCCTGCACTTGAAGAGGTTATTGCGAAACCCACCGCAAAGTATGAGGGCAGCAAGAACTTCTCTTCGCGTCAAAGGCGAAGGGCCCTCACGAAACTAGTAAATGCGGGACTTGAACGTCGAGTAACCAAACAAGTTGGGCCAGCTTCCTCCATGATGCCTGTCTCCGAGCATGACTCCTCTGATCGACCCGGGGAAAGTGGCTCAATGGACCACACGACGCGAAAGGATACGCCCCTTGATATTGTTTCGATCTCTCGTCCAGAGGGTAGACGTACCCCAAGAAGAATGGGCCTAGCTGCTCCCCATTTCGCTGCCCACAGCGCGGAGAAGAGACGGAGCGCTATTTTTTAATCTCGTTGGTTCGCTTTGGCGGCGATTGACTATTAAAGCAATGTCTATTCGGCAGAGGCTAATGGACGATGTGTGCACATGTAGGAGGTTAATATGCGTTGCTACGAAACACCTTGAAGCCTTTTCTTCCTTTTCTTACTTTTCTGTTCTATTTCCTTTACTCCCACTTCCTAATTTGGGTACTGTCGCCACAGCTGCTGAAACATTTGTATTTTCAAATTATGTTGTTCTGACCTTGTATTTTATCATGGCGATGCTTTTGTTCCCAACTGGGCTTGGAAACGCTACTTGACGGCTCTTTATCATACTTGAACCACAGTGGCTGCTTGATGTTGAAATTCCGCTCATAGAAGGGTGCATATATTAATCGACGAATAATCCTTGATTTAACACAATCCGTGGGGCGTGCTAATATTCCAACGTGCCCACACTTTTCCGTTGACCGAGAGTCATCCCGAATCGCTTATGCAGAAACGCAGGACTTGACTGTGTCTGACGTCAGGGCGTGGGTCTGTTAATTAACGTTAACGACACCATCCCGATTGTTGCTCCGATCACCTAGCTCTAGCAAATCATAATTATAATTACAATGAGCGGCTACCACGTATCAGATGCGAAGGCAAGTCTTAGGGCCCGTATAAAACAAAGATAGTTGGGCACATATATTTGGTTATCCTAGCCTTGAGGCCTGACACCAGCATACCAGCATCTAATATTACGAGGAGATACAATAAGGTATGCCGGCCCTTTTCCCATAGGAACTTACGTATGCTTGCGCTTGCCGGCCTGCCTCCTTCAACAGCTGACTCGCCGCTAACAGGGCAGTCTTTGTTTGTGTATGCATCGAGGACAGAATTCAGACAGAATCACTTGAACCTTTCGCACCCAAAGGCGAAAGTGCCACTCTCGAAGACATACCAATGAATGCCATTCGAACCTCGCCGAGAGTTGAGCGAGAAAGTAGCCACGGACCTAAGACTACCCCTCGTGTTCACTTCGGCGCAAATGATACACTAAAGAATAGCGCATCTCCGGAAAGACCGAGGAATGCTGCGAGGAGCAACCCTTGTGGCTATGATGGGGGACAAACGCAAGCTGACGATATGAGTTCGGGGGCGGGAGTGTCACTTATACAGGGCCTCACGCCATTGTTGGCGGCTGATAACCCCTATATTAAACGGGAGGAATTCGATGAAGAAGCAGCTCCTATAGATTCCGAAATCGAGGCTCTCGAACCCCAGGCTCAAGTTATTGTTCGAGAGTTATCGAAGAGGATCCCCGGACTACCGAATAACTTCGTAGATTCAACCTCTGAACAAAATTCCACTATGAGCCTAAATAACCAACATTCGCCCGACCTGAGCCAGCCCACGATGCACAAGCCGGGCGTCCTTGCCACCCTGTTGAGACTCTCACAGAATTCTGGTCCTCGACCTTCAAATTCTACCCTCCCGAGTGCTCTGCAAACTCCCAAAGCAGAGTCCGGAGCCGCAACTCCCTCGACGTGGTACAAAAGCAGTCATGATAATACCGCGGCCATTCTTGCCGGGGCCAGCTTACAACTAGGCGGCGCATATGCAGGCTCTGGTGGACCCGACAAGGTGCCTATACGTCATAAGCGACCTCGGACGAGCAGGGCACATAGTGGAGGACTGACCAATGTCTTGGGCCGCTTTTCAAAGGAAGAAAATGAAGACGAGATAAAAGTATTAGCCCTAAGTCTTCCCATTATCCTTCTGTATCCTAATCTCAGGCTTGTAGCTTCGGTATCACCTTGCACACGTATTACATAAGCAAAAATACCTGCTCCAGCTCTGCAAGGCGCTTATGCTATATGGGGCTCCAACCCACCGCCTTGAAGGTATGGTATGAGTTTTTGTTTTGAAATTTCCGGTATCAAACTAATATTTTCTTCTAGAGTATCTCAAAATGTCCGCACGAGTTCTTGATGTAGAGGGTAAGAAAACACCACTGAGGCGGTTTCATCGGAATAATTTTTCTCATGGGCTTTAATCAACTGCTAGGGCAATTCCTATATCTCCCAGGATGCATGATCATCTCATTTGATGATTCTTCAACCCACACCAGCAACATGCAGCTCGTTCGGGTCACACCAGCCCTAAACCTGGGGAAACTTCAGGACGTCCATCTGGTTTACAAACAAGTATGTTAAATGATGTTTTCTGATTTCGATACGGCTTCTAGCTTGCGCTATTTTATGGATACTTTGACTGCCGTTGAATTTAACTGAATGTTGCTTAGGTTATTCATGATGTGATAGGAGTCGAAGAAGGCATGGTCCAACTTCAGAAGCTGTAGGTATATATCCGGCGTACGTTTTATCTGGGTAGTTGGAATAACTTGTCTTCTTAGGTTTGATCAAGGTCCTCGATTTGCTGTCTGGTATGTCAAATTTCTCTATTCATAGTGATTATGCGCTGACTGGTATATTAAATGTGAAGGCTTCAGGTTTTGGTTTACGGGGCGGCGAGTGCTTCGGTAGGGCCTCTTTTTTCGGGTAGATGCCCACAAGTTCAAGTAATGGATTCCAGAGTACCCCTCAACTAACCCTTTCTCAGCGCGATTGATTGATTTACCGATTTGCTTCCTTTTGGGAACTATCCTCGGTGTTTTAGCCCTGGTCATAGCTCCTAGATCTACGCTTTACGTACGTAAGGTGTCGATATTGCCCCGTTCAGTGGAAGAGTGTGCCTGCTAACCACCTTGCCGATTAGTCCAACGTTTTTGAAATCGTAGCGTGTGTAGTAATATGCTTCCTTGCCCGCGCGTTCGGCTCCATCGAGGGAGGTTCGATTTTCTGCTTTGCTGGCATATCCCAAGCTTCTATTGCGTTAATTTTGCCAGGCTATATTGTTTGTGAGTTTATATTGGGGCCATCCCTAACGGCCTACGGCAGTTATATTCGATGCTTAAATGTCTAACCTAGCGGGCTGAGGGTAGTATGCGGTGCCTTGGAGCTGCAGTCGAAGAATCTTGTCGCTGGGTCAGTGCGGATGTTTTATGCAATCATCTATTCCTTGCTTCTTGGGTTTGGGATCACGATTGGGACGGCGCTTTATGGAGCAGTTGATTCAAAAGCGACATCAAGTAAATCTTGCTCGAATGTCATGTCAGACTACTACAAGTTCTTGTTCGTCCTCGTCTTTACACTTTGGTAAGACTTCGCCGTTTGTGATAGATTGTTGGTGTGGAGGCTCATGTGTACCCGGATACAGTCTAAACGTCCTCAACCAGTGCAAATGGAAGCAGCTCCCCATGAGTCTATGCATCAGCATATCAGGATTTGCTGTAAATTTTTTTGCCACCAGAAGATTTCCTACAAATGTTCAGATAGCCAATGCACTCGGGGCATTCACAATCGGGGTGATTGGTAATCTGTATTCACGGTTGTCACATCAGATTGCGTTTACATCAATTGTCCCAGCAATTTTCAGTGAGTCTCTATATCTCCATTGAGCGGTTATAGTTGAATTTGTAATATACCTGTGCTGATAGTGCCCCACAGTTCAAGTGCCGTCGGGGCTTGCTGCACAGGGCGGATTAATATCAGGGTTAGATTCTGCAGACTCTCTCACCAACAAGACAGTGAATACGAGCCCTGAAGCCCTCCAGAGTCAATTTAACATCACAATAGCAAATGTTGCGCTGGGAATGATCCAAGTTGGGATTGGGATAAGCGTTGGTTTGTTTTTTGCGGCAATCGCTGTCTATCCGGTAAGTCCTTACCCACCTTTTCAGCAGAAGGAACGAAAGGGCCGAAAACAAAGCAAAATAAATAAATACAACCAAGGAAGGAAATAGAACAGAAAATGTGACTAATAGGTGGTATGGGCCGAGCCAGTTCGGTAAACGTAGGTCAGGGCTGTTTACTTTTTAAAGAGTATTTTAGAGTATTGGCAGGTGGGAAACAGAGGGACTTGCTGGGTTTACCCAAGGGGTTTAATGTTCAGGGCAAATTGCTGTGGGAAATAAGGAAGCCACCGCCTAGAAAGAAAAGAGGGGAGAAGCAAAAGAGAAATTATAAACTATTCAAAAGAGCAAAGGAAGAGAGCCAAAAAATAAAAAAAAGGTGAAAAAATAAAAAGGGTTTAGATAGCAATATTCTGATAGGGATAACGCTCCGATAGGCAATTAACTATTGATATTGATTATGTCCAACGTCATCCTGTTTTGTTTTGTGAATTAATTAAAATCAGCTTGCGGTGGTGGGTTTATTTTCCTGCCATCAATTTTGGGTCAAATTATTTTATTTTGGGGTGGCGCTAAAGAGCATGCAAGTAGGTACATATTACCGAAATGCCTGTAATTGGAGTGGAGGAGCGAAAAAACAAACAAAACAACAACAAAGTGTTTTGGTGCCTCGCGTCAGGTAAAGCCGTCAGTTGGGCTCAGTCGTTGTTGATACGACAGGGAAAATCGTCCGAGTACAAATAGTCGGCCCCTCCCACCCCGCTTCCAACGCTTGTTTTCTCTTCCAGTTTTATTTCTCCTCTCATAGCAACGAAACACTAGAAAGACACATCCACATCCACATCTACATTTACACACCCTCGAAAAGGTTCACAGGACTTGTCCCTTCTCGCACCACCAAAGTATCTACTTTTACCCTAATTTCCAAGTAATAACACCATCACAATGCCACCAAAGAAGGCTACCGGCACAGCCACAGCCACCGCAACTGCAACAACCACCACCACTACCAAAAAAACCTCTACACCAGCCGACCACCCATCCTATAAGGGTATGTCCACACACACACACACACACACACACAATCACCCCCTATATTTCCTGAGGAATAATATTAACGATTCGTGCAAACAGATATGATCAAGGATGCTATCCTTCAACTCAAAGAGCGAAACGGAAGCAGCCGCCAAGCCCTCAAGAAGTATGTTCTGAGCAACAACAAGGGCATCAAAGAATCGAATTTCGATACGCAGTTCAACGCCGCTATCAAACGTGGTGTTGCTGCTGGTGATTTTATTCAACCAAAGGGCCCTTCAGGCCCCGTTAAACTTCAGAAGAAGGATGCTGCCAAGTCCACAACAAAGGCAGCTAAGGCCACTGGAGAAAAACCAGCCAAGGTATGAGTTCATTCGGCTTAAAAGAAAAACACTCTTCGAAAATGCCACGAAAGAAAGGAAATTAATTCGTTCTTGTGTAGAAGCCAACTGTAAAGAAAGTATCAGCAGCAAAGAAAGCTGCCGCTGCCAAATCTGCCGCAAAGCCAAAGGCCGCAGCCAAGCCTAAAACCGCGGCCGCTAATTCGAAGAAGCCAAGAAAGACAACCGTGAGTTCAGCAAAATAATTTGATCTTTCGAACCATGGCTAACGTGCCATAGGCTGCTGCGTCAACAACAGAAAAACCGACAACTGCTTTGGCTAAGACAAAGGCCGGAAGGGTATCTAAGACATCGAAGCCTGCTGCCCCTGCTAAGAAGGCCCCCGCACCTAAAAAGGCCGCACCTAAAAAGAAGGCGGCCGAAGCAGCTGCCCCAGCTGCAGAATAACCGTGTTACCATCTTGCAATTAGCCACGTGGAGAGATGGATAACATACATGGGCGAGAGCGCGCCGTAAGAACGCGTGTTCTTTATTATCGCTCGTGAACGCCGCCTCTTCTAATAGCGCATATAGCGTATATTCTTTTACATGAAACTGTTCATTTGGGTCGGGACTTCTTGCGTTGACTTTTTTCCTTCCTTTTCCCTTTTATTCCTTTCCCTTTCTGTTCTTCATGATATCTTCTGTTTGCGATTGTCTATTTTCCGCACTCTTATACTGTTTTGTAACAGCTTCAGATTCAATCGGGAGGAGTTAGGTTGGATGGGTTTGTTTGTTCCACCCCATATTCTGGGCGTTGTATCTTAGCCTTGACTCGTTTTGATGTCAAATAGACGATAATGACCTCACAAAGTGTGATCATATGTTTCGTTCCATCCACAACCAACATGAGATTCAAGGCGAACGCTATTTTAGCACATGTATAGTTTGGAGCCACCGTATATACCAAGGAGGGCTAGCATGGCTGAAATGTGTCCGTGCACCGTAGTTGATAATGGCATGTATCAAAGTGCATTTGACATCCCTATTGGCTGATGGTCTGTGACAAGAGTATTTAAATATCAAAAAAAAAAAAAGCGAATGTCAACATTTCCGAGTCGCCATCCGTCGGTTGCATGAGGGAAACCTAGCTCAAGTATGTATGTACTTACATACACTAGCACTTATGCATGTCTGTAGGTTGATCTGGTTTCAGGGATTTTAAGTGCTTCTGGAGGAGCATGGGTGCAGGGGTACATGGGTAGCCCAGAAAATCAGAAAAGGGGCGTGTTACCCCGTACCAGATTCCATACCCCTTTCCCAACACCATATGGTCCACATCTTTTGTACTTATGTAAAACGCTACAGCGCGCTGGCGAGCAATCACTAAACTCTCAACGGACGCCGCAAGCCCCTGAGCAGTTTCCCTATCAGTCCTCCCTTGTCATGTATGGGTCTCTTAATCCAATTCGAACATTTGTACAGTCGCGACTTAGCGTCCAGCATTCTAACCAAAAACACCACTTAAGTACTTAGTTGGACCTGGAGATGCCAACATCACCACCGCATTCTCCAGCGCCATCGGGCATGAATCGACCCTCAACCCGAAGCGCAAGTAGGTTAAGCATGAATAGCACTACAAGACAGCTCGCATCAGGAGGTTTGAACGGGGCCGGCCGTGCCCCGTCGCGAGCATCAGGCGAGGACGATGACAGCATCCGGACAGCCGTCCGCGTTGGTAAGATATCATCCTCGATGTCCCCGGTTTGCATGATTTATATTCGGTTAAGGCTAACCAGGCGACCATGAATTCTAGCTGTGAGGATCAGACCGCCTTTGAAACCCACCGATCCCGGATATGATCTCATTCCGCAGCGGTTCCAGCGGTCCATGGCCCAGACTATGAATGATACTTCGCTTACGATAGACAGCCCGCAAGGTCGTAAAGTGTTTATTTTCGATAGGATCTTCGGGCCTGATGTGCAACAGGATGGTGTTTGGGATTATCTGCAGGACAGCATCAATGCCTTTGTGCAGGGCTACAACGTATCCATTTTGGCTTATGGGCAGAGTGGTGCCGGGAAATCGTATACGATGGGAACGTCTGACCCAAATGAGCGCACATCACAAGATTCCTCCGGTAAAGCGTCTCTGCCTCTACAATCGAAGGTCACTATCACTAACGGTCGCTGTTCCTTTCTTCCTTCTTATTTATTTAAATAGGTGTGATTCCGAGAGCTGCCTTCGCTCTTTTTGAGAAACTATCCCCTATCAGCAAAAGTACGACTACAGGAATCAAAGCACCATCGCGGTATTCTACGCCCCTGCCAACCTTTCAGAAGCAGACTACGCCCCAGGATAGGCCTTGGTCGATGAAGGCTACATACGTTGAGGTTAGTACCTGCGCGATTGGATAACTATGGACTTTTTTTTCTTTTCTTTTCCATATTTTATATTTATACCCGGTAAACTAACGGTAAAACGATTGCAAGATATACAACGAGCAACTTAGGGACCTTCTGCTGCCGGATGGAACAAATACGGGAGAAAGACGGCAAGTCAATATACGCGAGGACACCAAAGGCCGTATTTTGTTGACCGGCCTTCAAGAGATGCCTATTGAGAGTGTCGATGATCTTCTGGCTGCATTGAATTTCGGATCTTCTATTCGGCAAACTGATTCTACAGCAATAAATGCGAAATCATCACGCTCACATGCAGTATTCTCCATAAATCTTGTACAGAGGAAGCCGAGGTCGACATTGGGCCGCGATGCTAAGGAAAAGAGATATTCTGCTCCCGCGGATATTCTGGCTTCTGGTTCCGATGGGTTTATTACCGTTGATAGCAAGCTACACTTTGTTGATCTAGCAGGGAGCGAAAGGTTGAAGGTTGGTTTGCCCGAGTGTTGTTTGCCCTGGATTATCGGCATCCTGAAATGCTAATACTATTACATGAAGAACACCGGTGCCCTTGGGGACAGAGCAAAGGAAGGCATATCGATTAATGCTGGGTTAGCTAGTTTGGGAAAAGTGATTTCACAGTTATCCTCAAGACAGCCAGGGTCACATGTCTCCTACCGAGATTCTAAACTCACCCGCCTCCTTCAAGATTCACTAGGTGGTAATGCCTTCACATATATGGTTGCTTGTGTCAACCCTGCTGAGTTCCATCTCAGTGAAACCTTAAACACTGTACAGGTATGTTGCGTTTTCGGGAAAGTTGTCATTTTAGTTGGTGCCCTAACGACGTCAATAGTATGCTCAACGCGCCCGTGCCATACAAAGCAAACCGCAAATTCAGGAAGTTACTGCGGATGGCGACATGCGGGCCCTCGTAGAAAGACTGCGCGCTGAGATTGCCTTTCTCAGAGATCAAGTTCGAAATTCTGAAGGCTCAAATACTCGTTCAAACCGACACTCTGTTGATCGATCAACGGAAAAGGAAGTAGAGCTGCAGAATCAGCTGCTGGATGCACAGGAGAACCTTTCTGCCCTTAGCCAACGGCACGCGAAGCTTATCTCCGAAATCACAAAGGCGAGGGACACCGAATCAAGCGAAACACTGAATCGCCATTCGGATGTTGCAGAGGATAGGATAGCTCGCTCAAATTCGTTTGCTGAAGCAGTCGAACAAGTCGTCCTGGGTAAGTCTGATGCCCTATTGGGAACAGTAATTCGGGTGGGTCGCTACTAACATAATGCATTAGAGTATGAGAAAACCATCCAAAGTCTCGAAACATCACTTTCGAGCACAAGGTCGAACCTTTCCGCCACGGAAAGCTCCCTTCTCGAGAAAGAATCCCGCTTAGTCTACCTTGAAACAATAAATTCACAACTTCAAAACAGGGTCCAGAAACTTACAGACCGGGAGTCTAGTACGGAGACGTATCTGGCCGATCTAGAGGGCAGGCTGAATGGTCATACTTTTGGCGAAGAGCGAAGTTCTGCTGCGATTTCGGAATTGCGTAAAGAATTGACCAGAGTCCGTGAAAATGAAGCAAGTTGTGAAGACTATATTTCAACACTCGAGGAGAGGCTCGCAGAGGCCGACCAAAGTATGGAAATCATGCAGAGGGAACTGGAGCGCCTTGAACATGTAGTCGAGAGGCAAAGAAGCCTGGGAAAACTAGATAATCTTCTTCACGAGCTGGATACCCTTACTCACGCCCCGGGACAACCAGAAACAGCACCCGGTGTTACACAGGCTGACCAGAATCATACACCGCAGATCCCAGAAGGCGACCTGGATTTGGAAGAGGGCCATGGGCTGTCTAGCACCCCACTCTTGGTGGCCCCACACGTTGTTACTGGTTCTCCTACTGAAGACGGTGCCGGCCCGGATACCCTACAGATAGATGCAACATCCGGCGGTCATGACGCTATAGGCCAGGATGGAGGAGATAATTTGAAATTACGGTTTAAACTAGAACGAACAGCCAAAGAACTAGGCCACTTCAAAGAAATGTATCACTCGACGATGACTGACTACACGGATATGACTGCTAGGTACGAGCGCGCGTTGCGGGACCTGCATGAGCTCCAAGACCAACTTGATGAACACCGGCACGGCAGAAACAGTCTGATGCTCTCAAATTCAGATGAAATACCACCCCCGTCTCCCGAGTCGGTTTCAACGTCGTTCGTCTCAACCCCGTTGGTTCAACAGATTAGTTCGAATGTGTCCCACTATGGGCACAGTCAGTCGCAATCTCAGATACCCAACCAACAATCGACCATAAAGCCACAAACTACGGACCAATCACAGCCATACCCACCGTCTGTCTCGAATACCGATTTAGAAACCCGGCAATTACACTGTGATGAACATACAGACCTCGGGGCTGAATTTAGTGAGCTTGAGGCGCGGTATCTGGGCCTTCAAGAGGAACACAGGGCAGTTCTTGATCTCGTTGACGATCTCAAAGCCACAATTTCCAAATCGCGTCTAGATGGCGTAACATCGCCAACAGGAGCTCAAATACTTCGCCGAAAATCGAGCCAGAATCTTGTGGCAGTCGACAGAGCGAATAGAGCATTTAAAAGCCTACGGTCGATAGCGCTCCAGTACCTAACGGAAAACGAAGATGCGAGAGAAGTGTTCGATCTCAATATAAACGCTGCGCTACATGAGTTACAGTCTAGATCTGAAAGGATCCAGGAATTAGAGCATGAAGTGGTCGGCTTAAGAAAAGATATTGAGACCAAAACTGCAATGATTAATGGCCTAGCCCGTGAAAGATCAAGGTTAGACGATAATACCCAAACTATGCAGGTTTTAGGTACTGACCCATTCGCAATCATTTTAGCATAACAAGCTCCCCGATGGATATCTCAGTTGTCTCATCTCTCCAAAGCCGTTTAGCGGAGAGTGAGGCCGAACTTGAAAAAGCACATTTGAGACTGAAGATGCAACAAGAAGAATTTGAACAACAAATCATTAGTCTGAAGACTGACTTGGAAGAAGCACAACTGTCACAAACCGTGCAATCGAGACCCCCTATTGCGAATCATTTGGAGGAAAATTCTAAAGATGGAGACACCTCGGCCGATGTGATTTCTTCGAGCGTGTTAGAACTAGAAGAGCTGTTAAAGACGGCTGAGGACGGGCATAACTCTTCTTTTCTGGAAACGCTAGAACAACTGATACTTATTGTGGATGGCCTCATTAGTATAGGCCCCGGTTCCCACGATCGAGACAGGCACCTGTTATTATCCGCACTTTCGCAGATTAAACTTAGATTGGAGATAAGTTGCGGTTATGCCCGTTCAGAGGACCAGCGGCTTGCCGACCAGAAGAATCCTTCCGTTTTGCAGCGGTCTGATATCGATATTTTGCTCGGACTTTTGGCTCTGCCTATCGAACAAGAGCGAACAGAATCGTCTACAGTGATCAATCACCCCGATAGCGTGGGGGGTTTTGATTTGGTTGCATCGAAGACTAAAACCATTATGCAACGCCTTGAGCAGTCTCAAATAGAAATCAAGAGCCTTCAGGCGACTATTGAGTCAAAAGAAAAGGAGACTTTCCAGCTCAGACAAACACTTCAGACTTTGGAGGAGCAATTAGAAGCTAGTCGAGTCCGACTTGGAACAGAAGCTGCACATTTAAAAGATGCTCGGATCAACAATAACGACTTGAAAGACGAGGTTGCCGCTCTTGAGGACCTGAATTTGAAAACCAAAGCCGAACTGGACGAGCTCATTTCCCGGAACCGGCAGCTTGGTGAGGAGGCTACATCATATAGTAAAGACCTCGAGGCGCAGAGGCTTCTGGTGGCAGAGTTGCAAGAGCTACACACTATGTCACAGAAGGAGCTAAATGACTTGATCAAAAAGGAAGCAACCCACGCCGGTGTTATAGATCAACTGGAACAACAGCTAGCGAGCACCTATGATCAGCATCAGGATTCCAGGAAACGGCTTTTGGAGGCGGAGGAGGAACTTCGCGCCTTACAATCAGATCGCGTCAGCATTCTGGCCAGCCATGAGGCAACGGCACAAACAAATTCGCATCATATAGACAGTCTAATGAACGAACTCAATACCCTTCAGGTTGGTTGTAAAAAGTATATTCTTTATCAACGCTAGGTTTAACTAACTTTAAAATTTCTCCGTAGCTGAAACTAGCAGATGCGCAGCTTGAATTGACGTCTCTACCCCCTGGTACTGTTAATCGCACGCAGCGATCAAACTCCGTATCATCCACAAACCTAAGGAAGAGCGCATCGACTGCTTCTTTGCCTTCTCCGCCACCCGTGATCCCGCTACCACCTTTACCACCAAATCAAGCGTCTAACGCTGGGGTTCCAACCGCCACAAGCTCAACACAAATGCCTCCATCGACACCAACGATTTCCCGTCGGCCCAGCAAGGACTATGTCGTGACCCATCTCGAAGATCAAGAAGCTAGAATAAAAACGTTGGAAAAGCAACTACAAGCTGAAAAGGCATTGACAGCGACCCTAGAGGAGGCTCTCACTGATTGCGAAAAGACAATGAAAAAGCTTACCACGGACAAAGAGTCATATCAGCGAAAGGCTAATCAGGCTCAACAAGAACTTGATAGAACTCGAAATGAATCACAATCCAGTAGATATTCCATGCAGGCAATGGAGGACGAAAGACTCGCGAGGCTGAAGGCAGAAAAGGCGCGACAGCAACTAGAAGAGCGTATGCACGAGCTATCCAAGCAAAAGAAGAGTCGCAATTTCGCATGCTTCTAGCCTGGTTAACGACATTATTTCCATTATTGCGTCAAAGTGTCTCTCTCGTTAGACCGTTGCTTCTTGGGGTTTCCTTTGGCCCTTCATTTCCTTCTATATTTCATCATCAATATTTCTTGCCCCTTTCCCACCCTCGTTCTACTCGGTTTATCGTTGCGATTTCAGTTAGAATACCCTTGTAGTTTAGGCTGTAAAATACCAGATCCTGGCAATTATGATTAATCATTTGACTTCGGTTTTCCTTGTTACTTATCTATTTCTTCCTTTTTCCCCTTTGTAGTTTTGTGACTGAATGGAAATGTAGTATGTGTATCTGACACAACGGCCTACCGAAGCAATTTCGTACTAGACAACAGCTGGCCATCGTCGACCCCCAGGCCAAGTCATTGCTCATCCAAAATATATCTATGAACTGGGTTGGTGGAACTCGCACGCGACGCCGAGGCGGGCAACCGCAGCCAGCCACACAACAAAAGGAGTATTTTGCTCGTCTTCGGTCAGATCAATGGGCAAAAAGTACCTTCCGAAAGAGAATATGCCGAAAACCCGAACACGCACATCTACCTTTAGCTCACTGCTCTAGTCAACCGGCCAATTTCCCAACCAGCAACACTTCGATCCAACAATCTCCCCTCGAGCCTTCACCTCAGACGACAAAGCCCAAGAGCCAGAGGCGTAGTGCAAAGCGATACAACCAAACTGATATAGTATCTCGCAGCAAGTCATTTGTGCGAAAATACAGCAGCCCCACCGCTGAGCCCTTTGCTCCAACTCCAGAATCCCCTTCTCGAAACCCTCAGAGATTGTTTCGGAAAAGGGAGCCAGGTTTCAGAGGCTTAGATAGCGCCGTTGATATTCAAACTAAACAGACACAAGACCTTGGCATTACCGACCTCTGTAAAGAAGCTAGGCCGACAAAAACCTGCAACCAGGACAAGGAGTGCGATAGAAGGACTGAAAATACCGCCTTTGCAGGTAGGGAACAGGAGCGTACCTCAAGTAGAGAGCTTACGCAGCAACATCGCTTCATATCCTCCCACGGTGAATCATCAAGCTTTGCAGAATATGTGAGCCCAAGGGCTACACTGAATTTGAATTGGAAAGCATACATATTATTTCCATATCGAAATCCGGCCGACAAATCTAGGGTTGGAGCAAGGGGAAAGGAAATGCAAGGAGCTATTTTTGTTCTATGATAACTTCATGCCGACTAGGAAAGGCCATAGGCTAGGGCCCTGCCACAACTGCTTCACCAATCAGTTTTTATCCTCTGGATAATGCGTCGTCTTTGAGCCTCCCTTGAGCGCCTCAAAATACTGTTTGACATCTTCTTGACAAACGACGCGCTTTTCTTGAGCAAATGGCTGGAGAAACTCTTTCACCTTGTCTTTAAGCATATTATAGGCCATGACTCCTTCTATATACGGATACTCGGTTTAGCAAAGCAATGCACTAAGGTATTTTCAGTGAGAATGGTGGAACCAACCAATTGCACGTATACGGTCGATACTGCTAAGTGCCTTTTCGCCGGCATCTAGGAGGCTGTTGTGGCCTGTGGATTCGCCGGCATCGGAATCTAAAGGGGGCTCATGGGTTGCTTCCTCCTCTAGAAGGCACTTGTGGTTTTTGAGTTTTTCGAGACAAGACACACATTGACAAAGGTGGTCTCGAAAATCTGAGCGCAGGAAAAGTGAAACCTTCTTGTTGGCCAGGTCTAGATGCTTATTCTGTGGGAGTTTACAAAGTTTGGTAGAGGTAGCTTCAACGCTTGCCTCTGGGGCTGCTATTGAAGGTCCACCGACACGAATAGCAGGTTCGGAATCGGTCTCGGCAGTGTCACCCTCAGAACTAATTGCACTGGCTTTGCGTTTCCTAGAAACCGTAGCGTCGCTACTTTGGCCTGGACATGCAACTGCAACTTCCCTGCAAACAACCGGTTCTAGGAAACCAGGTGTTCCAGCATATTGCAAAAGCCAGGGATTGGCTGAAATGCACCCCCAGCAGATGAAATACTCGAAAGAACCTTCATCCGGGAAGCCCTGAATGTCACCAGAATCATCTTCACTAGAGTCGGCAGAGCCATCCAAAGATAATCCGAGAATACATCGATCATGGAACCAGTCTTCTCCACAGCAATCGCCAAGGAGACACTGGTACATGGTTCCAAATTCGCTTTCGGCCTCGTAACGTTCGCTTTGGCAAAATAGGTTCTGGAAGTTCTGGTTATACGAGTTCCCTTGTGCTGGCTGGTCCTCGTGTGTTTTCCGAAGGTTACAGCAAGACCCTGGCATACGTGTAGTACCGCAATCACATTCAAAATTCCTCTTCGAGAAAAGTTCAACTAAGTCGCCATGAGACCCATGACAGGAAATCGAACAACTATAACAAATTCCTGCAGGCGATGACCCGTTCGAAGTGCATTTCATGCAAGCGAAGATGAGCTGACGCAAAGGCCCGAGTGGCTTAGTACATGTGTCAAATGACTATAGTTATGGGATATGGCTCATAGGTCAGCTTCTATCTCAATGAGATGCGAACTGTGAGAGTGCAAATAGAAAGCAGCGGGAAGGGTCCGAACGTAGGGAAGAATCTCCCGAGCTTCGATTTCGAGCTGACGTTGGGCATCGATATAGTCTTGTGCGGTCTGGGAAATGCCAGCTCCCTCGGGCGAGTTTTCTGTTTCCGGTTCCATTATTTCCATTCCAATTCCTTTCTACCCGCAAAGCGGCGGTCGTCGGCTGTGACGATGGTGATGTGGTGTGAGGTACTTGGTTCTTATTGACCTATGGCAGGTGCGAGCTCAAGCATGCGTCCGCATAGAGTTCGTGCTGCTGAGTCAGCAGCACCACAGGATGGGCTGATCAACTGAAAGTGCGACAATTCCCGAAGCTCGGTGGTTTACCGCATTCCCCGAGCATCATCCAGAACCACCACCTTTTGATAACTCGCGCCAGCGTAAATATTGCCCCTCAGCAAGAACGGACAGGAACTCCCAGTAATCTGTATCCCCAATAAAATCCATAAGATTTCCTATAGAAAGCTACTGCGAGTCTCATCTCTGAAAGAAAAACCACGGGCGTCATGAAGGTAAGTCTACTTTCATATGGTTTCACCGAATCCCTAGGGATTGTTCCTAACTAGTATATATCCATCAATCAATATAGTTTCTACACCTGCCAGGTATCGATGCAATAAACCTTGATCTCAATTTCTCAACAAGCGATTGCTGTGTTTTTGGTGGCTGTGACCTTTATACAACAAAGGTAAGCTATGTTTTCCCACATCGCCATCCCGCCACAAATATCCTGGCTAACCTTCAACCCGCAGGCTACTGGTTCCGACAAACGTTTGCTCCGCTCTATAACCGATACAATAGAAACGAAATTTGAAGCAGATGCAAGGCTTTCAGCGTCGCTTTCACCACCACTAGACTCAACTGAACTTTTCTCCCGATCGTCACCGTTTGGGCCGCTCGATCAAACCAGCTCGCGTAAAATATACTCGTACCTCCTTGCAACCCTGAATGCATCGCACCCATACCACGAATTTAGTTCTATCGTACGGCCTGACCACTTTAGCAAAGAACGATGTCTTCTTACAACTATGAATCGCTTCAATGCCGCCCTTTTTAATCTTGGAAAAACGATCCCGAACCTCTGGGAAACGATAGACATGGAGATGGATCTTAAGGACTGCGCTATCTACGTTTACGAACCAGACAACCTGGAGGACCCTTATGCCACGGAAGGCCTTCTCTGGTGTATGATGTATTTCTTTCATAATAAACACCGAAAACGGGTATGTTATTTATACTTGCGCGCGGTGTCGAAAAGCAGTCATTCCCACTCAAACAGAACAATGGAAACATGGCAGGAGGAGTGCGATGACGAAGACTGGAATTCCGACTCTGAGCGCTTATGGGAAACCCCCGGTTCCGACAGTGACGAATTTGTAGAGCACATGGAGATATAACCCGAGTTTTTATATCTTGCTTCGATTCTTGTTTACTTTTTGCTTTGTTGATCGTCTATTTTTTTGCTACGACTTTGGTTTATGTCTTCATTTGGCGTCTAATTTGTTCTTCTCTGCTCATGGGACGACGGAACAGGCGTTCGGGGTGATTTTGGGGTTTTTGGATGGTGTTGATTGGGGATCTGATTTAGCTCACCCTAGCAAAGTACATACTTACTTATGTAGCCACCTATTACTTAGCCGTTGTTATAAAACGTCTTTTAGCTTCCCTTTCCCTATTTAGCCAACGGAACCACTAACTCTATTCTTTTTTATTTTATTTTATTTTTCCCTGTTCCGATATCTGCTGAGCACGGTCTCTGATCTCACTGGGCGGGAACACTTATATGCGTCTCGTCACCCTAGCATCGATGTCCCCACCTGAAGAGTGCCCAAATCCGAGGCTAGTATTGATGCCAGAAAACTTCCCCGTGGAATTCTAAAATTACGTTTGATGCTTAAAGCAGTACGGCATAGCGAATGCCCTCTCAGTCAAGCCCGTTTCCCGTCATGTCTTAGGTAATCCTATGGTTATAAACAATATGTCACTTTAAGAAGTTAAGCAACGACTTAAAATCTTGGTACATCCATAATTGCTTTAAGTACATAGAATACACGCAGTCCCAGGGGCAGACGCGTGTACCCATCTACTTGGCCTCGGCGGGCCAAGATAAGAGACCCTCTCGGAATCAAAGGGTCACTGCTCTGCCTAGAAGTTAGCAGTTAATATGAATATTACGTACCCGCTAGTCCGGCATTATAGCTTCTACATTGGATCAGCTCCAGCTTAGCCACCTTCAAAGCTAAAGCAAACACCACAACCACATGGAAAAACATTGCTAGTCCCGCAATGGATGCCCATACTTTTCACCTAGCTATAGACCAACAGGTGGAGCTGCTTGAAAAAGCCCGCGAGGTAATTTTTATTTATCTTTTAAACCTTTAAAGACTGAGCCACGACATCCACTAAAACCCAAGATTTTACATAGGCCGAGTTACAGCTATCGAATGAAGACATCGCTCAGGCAAATTCCAAAGCGCTCAGCACCCGGGGTTTAGCGCTGCTGAATCTATGCATTTCACGCTCCTATACGGGGCTTGGGGGGAAGTCTGTTGTGGAATTAAGCCCGGATAGTTCCCTTGTATCCGGAGGCATACCTGCCCATGGGCTCAAGACGGGAGATATAGTAAAGATCCAAGAACAGTTGTCAAGTTCAATCAAAAAGTCTCAAAAGAAAGAAACACAAGATGAAGGTTTGAACGGGGTGGTGATAAGATCTGGCAGCCAGAAGCTCGCCGTTGCCCTGGATATGGATAAATCTTACCTCTCCATAGACACTGCTAAACGGCTACGGGTGTATGCAGATGTATAGATTAAATAACAATAATACGAGAGCAAATTGGGCTAATTTACTGGAATAGTGTTAAAGTTGCCAACGATGCCCCGTTCAAAAGGTAAGTCTCGCGGCTGGCGTAGTGGTGTCGTCGGTTGAAGAACGATGTTCCAACGCTGATTTCGTGTTCGTACAGAATGATGCAGACCTTTCTAGACCTAAAATCGAAACAGCCCGAGGATCTTCCGAGTATCATCAAGATAGCATTTGGCCTCGCTGCTTATTTCCCACCCGTGAAATCCGAGATCCGATTGGACTTCTTCGACGAGCAACTCAATGAGGTACAGAAAGAAGCAGTTTCTTTTGCCCTGGAAGCTACAGATTTAGCCTTGATTCATGGCCCCCCCGGCGTATGTCTTATACATTTATATTCCCAGCACTTCGTCGTTAAAGCCGCTAAGGTTTTCTGAGAAACTAGACAGGTAAAACTCAAACATTGATAGAGATCATCCGTCAACTTGTAGCTAGAGATCTCAAGATTTTAGTTTGTGGGCCTTCAAATATATCGGTTGACAATATCGCAGATAAATTGGGGCCATTTCGAATCCCGATGGTGCGCATTGGCCATCCGGCTCGACTACTTCCAAGTGTTATATCCACTTCTCTCGATGTTGCCATCAAGTACTCTAGTGGGGGGATGCTTGTCAACGACATTAGGAAAGAAATGGATGAGAAATTGAACAATTCCAAGAAGACACGAAATGGTACCGAACGGAGAAAGCTTTGGGAGGATATTCGCGACCTTAGAAAAGAGTGTAAAGTTAGAGAACGAAGGTGTATCGAAGATATTGTAAGAGCTAGCAAGATTGTGCTATCGACTCTTCACGGGTAAGGATAGTGTACTACATCAGGAAAGTTGGCCCGTTTCTGATTCCTGGGTACAATATAGGGCTGGGGGTCGGGATATCATACGACAAAATTTTGATGTTGTTATCATCGACGAAGCCGGGCAAGCCCTTGAAGCGCAATCTCTAATTCCACTCGCTCGGGGACCATCCAAGTGCATTTTGGCTGGCGACCATTTGCAACTTCCGCCGACGATCCCAAGAACGGATAAAACCTCTAGCTTACGAAAGCTTGAGCTCAGTTTATTTGAAAGACTTATCAAGCTCCATGGGCCACTCATCAAAAGAACACTTTCCGTACAGTACCGTATGCATGAAATGATCATGAAGTACCCTTCGATTGGACTGTACGATTCGTTACTACTTGCAGATGTCTCAGTTCGATCGCATCTACTATCAGACCTTCCAAATGTCATCAAAACAGACGAAACTCAAGAGCCACTGGTTTTCTGGGACACGAACCCACATGGAGGTTTTGGAGAAGACGATACTGGAGCGCATGAAAGTAAGAGTAATGCGATGGAAGCTGGTAAGCATCTAAAAGCGCCCCCCAAACGGTGTACGCCATACTGATATTGGCTTTGAATGCATTGGGTTCCTCTTAAGCTCTTTGTCGTTATCATCTACGAAATTTGCTAGAAGCTGGAGTCCAGCCAAAGGATATAGCAATTATCACACCGTACAACGCCCAGGTATAGTCATCGGTTCCTCGCCCCTAAATCTTGAGGTTCAAAAGGTAATCTATGTAAGAATGCTGACCAGGACTCAGGTGGCCCTTCTGTCAGGACTCATCAAATCTGAATTCCCAGATGCATTTTCTGAAATTGAGATTGGAAGTGTAGATGGGTTCCAAGGCCGAGAAAAGGAAGCGATCTTACTGAGCCTAGTTAGAAGTAATGAAAAGAAAGAGGTCGGCTTCCTGGCCGACGAACGGCGTCTCAATGGTAACTGTCTTCTTAAAAATCCCCACTTTTAGGTACTGTGCCCTGACACCATAGTTTTGCTTCAGTTGCTATGACGAGGCCGAGACGCCACCTTTGTGTCATTGGAGACTCGGGAACTGTTGCTCGGTAAGTTCTAAACTGAAGCGGAAATTCTAGGTGGTGTAACGATGCTGATATGATGGTATTTTGGAAAGTGGGAGTGTTTTCTTGAAGGGTTGGATGGACTTCCTAGAGGAAAATGCCGACTTGCGGTACCCTGACACTATAATGCTCCAACAGTGAGTCGGGAAGTTGATATTGGTTTAAGTGGATTAAATAAGCAATATATACGATTGTAGGTTATATTGCATCATGCATAATTAAGTGAAATGGCATGGCATCCCGAAGTAAGGATAAGGTTGGTGTTACTGAGGCTACATCTGTAACATGAATTTAGCAGATAAACCAACTATAGAGCACCTTAGCTCGATGTTTTATCTCTGCTTAATAACGTTGATATTTATCGATACGGGTACTAAATGAAAATGAGTTTTCGTCTACCTGGTGAAGTTTGGAGTAGCTTCCCAGTAATTTACACGGTCTGATAGAGTTTGAAATTGACAACTTAAAAAAGACAAAATTTGAATGGAAGATACTCTTATGTTTGGTTGATAAGTGTATTCCCCTAGGCCCACTCCTACTAGCTAGAAGTACTACCGGTGGTATCGTCGATGAGATTTAACATTCGGGATATAGACGGCCCCGGAGTAACAAATTCGGCCCGAGGCAACCTCATTCGGGATTTTCACGCTAGAGCACCAAAGTAGCTTAACCTTCGTGTCGAATACTAGTGGTTCCTTAACTCTTCGTCTGGTGGCCTTGGAATTGTTGATAGGGACGCTGTAAACCCTCAAATAAAGCCAAAAGGAAAAAAAGGTAAAGAAAGGAAGGCAAAGGCCCCTTTAACCGCCCATAAGTTTAGTTATCGTATCTTCTTCGACCTAGGTGGGAATCGCATCAGTAAAGCGGTGCGTCTGCTGGATGCGGACGATACAAACCTCCATGTCTTCAAGACTATCTTGCTGGCTGATACATCGGAGGACATTTTTCTTGCTCGATTCCTGAAGTTCCCCCGCTAGAAGCAGCTCATCGAGTATAAAATACGCTTTTTGAAAATTGAAGATAATGTCGAGTTCACAGACATTTCCATAATACTTGTCCATCTGTTCGACATACCGGTGGACGATCTCCAATGTAATTAACTCGTTATCATTCTGGTCAGTTCCAGCAATAAAAAACAACGATGCGTATCTCCTGTAGACGACTTTGGTGTCTGTTGAAAAATGATACATGAGTACAGACTTAGTGCGGGCCTAACCAACGGGGGAACAATAGTGAGACCTTTGTATTCCAGAAAGTTACACATCCGCGTTCGGCGGGAGAGTACGAGCTGGGAAACCTCTTTGATGATTTTATTTTTCTCTTTGAGTAGCAAGGTTGTAAACCATTTAGACAGCCGCTGTTATGTATGCATCAGTAAGTAGAGTCTTCTGGTCATTTGGGGACCGGCTGTTCTTACGACTTTACCCTGTCGGGAAAGGAGAATGATGTATCTAGTGTGAATGTTAGCAGGCGTGATTTTCTTGCTTGACTCCCAAAAAAAAAAGGAATGCAAATACCTAATGGCCATATTTATTTGATGATATACCGCCGGCTTGAACCTGGTATATCACGGGAGTGAAGCTTGGGAGCAGCACATAAGAGCACGTTGCATCAGGCATTAATTTGGGAGCTGGTTTTATTTAGCTGGTAGGTTTGGCCAACACCATTTCTTGGCAAACCATCTGCACCAAGGCTTTAGATCCATATCGCCTATGCCGTCCTCAAAACCAATCTCATCCCACCTCTAAAACATTCTCAACAATTTAGCAACAGAACTGAGAGCTCGATATTAACCCTGAATAGTACTTACCTACTCAACCGTGACTTTGAAACCAATACTAACGAATCGGCAACTAAAATACATGGAAGGTTTGCCAAAAATCAATTACCCTCTCTTGAACTTGGATATTGTTGACATATATAGGAATCTACACGCACCTCGGGGACCACTTTGACGCTGCGTCGTCAATCAACGACGATTCATCAGTCGTTGGGACTTCGTCAATAAATGAGAGGAGAATAGGAAACCGTCGCCGCCATGATGATGAAGACGAACCCGATACTGACAAAACGGATGACGAAAATGACGAACTTGAGAGCCTTATGGATGGGACGCTCAGCCTCGCCAGTGTCCCGGTTGCCTCTGCTATCCCTCAGGACATAGATGGGCTTGGAGATGGAGATGGGGAATTGCCCCCACATGCCTGTGCGTAAGTGGTTCCCTGAAACCGGTCCTTAAGAGATCATGCACCTCTGTATGGCTTGCCTCTAATGCGCTCTTGGCCATAACTAGTTACTGCGGTATTCACTCACCAAGTGCCGTTGTTAAATGTCTAAGCTGTAATAAATGGTTTTGCAGTGGGCGCGGGAATACCTCGTCATCTCATATTGTCAATCATCTCGTCCGAGCTCGGCACAAGGTGTGAATTTGAAAGCCCCACAATTTCGCAGCTCTGGTAACTAATACGCGTGCCTGGTACAATAGGAAGTCTGTCTTCATCCCTCATCATCGCTTGGAGAAACTACACTCGAATGCTACAATTGCGGCACACGTAATGTCTTTCTGTTGGGGTTCATACCTGCAAAATCTGACACTGTGGTCGTCCTCCTCTGCCGCCAGCCTTGCGCAGCAATGCCATCTAGCAAGGACATGAATTGGGACACATCACGCTGGGAGCCCTTGATACAGGATCGCTCTTTTCTGCCTTGGCTCGTGAGCGAGCCCTCGGATGCGGAGCAAATGAGAGCCCGCCATTTGCAGCCCCAGGCTATTGCAAAACTTGAGGAACTATGGAAAGAAAATCCTGCTGCTGTTATAGGGGACCTTGAAAAGGGGAATGGAGTAGATGACGAACCCCAGCCAGTCCTCCTACGATATGATGACGCCTACCAGTATCAGAATGTTTTTGGTCCTTTGGTAAAAATTGAAGCGGATTATGACCGAAAACTTAAGGAATCGCAAAGCCAAGACGGCCTTATCGTACGCTGGGATATCGGACTGAACAACAAGCACCTTGCTAGTTTCATGCTTCCCAAGTTAGAACTTGGTGATGTGAAACTTGCTGTCGGTGATGAAATGCGCCTCCGGTACGTGGGAGACCTGAGGCAACACTGGGAGGGTGTGGGTTTTGTCATCAAGATCCCAAATAACATGTCAGATGAGGTCACCATCGAACTTCGAAAGGGTGCAAATGACAAAAGTGTCCCCACCGAGTGCACTCATTCCTTCTCTGCAGATTATGTTTGGAAGGCAACTAGCTTTGATCGCATGCAGCTTGCCATGAAGAACTTTGCCGTGGATGAAATGAGCGTCAGCGGGTATATTTATCACCGGCTTCTAGGCCATGATGTTGCTGCGGCGCCCCTGAAGACGCCACTACCTCGGAGATTTAGTGTCCCTGGCCTCCCTGAGCTTAACATCAGCCAAGTTTGTGCTGTGAAAAGCGTCCTGCAAAAGCCACTCTCCCTGATTCAAGGCCCACCCGGCACAGGGAAAACTGTAACATCAGCAACGATTGTTTACCATCTCGCCAAACTCAGTGGTAGCCAAGTCCTTGTTTGTGCGCCATCTAATGTGGCGGTCGATCAACTTACTGAAAAGATACATCGGACTAGTTTGAAAGTAGTTCGGCTGACAGCGAAATCTAGAGAAGATGTTGAATCTCAAGTCTCTTTTCTTTCACTGCATGAACAAGTTCGCATAAACAACACTAATGTCGAGCTCGTAAAGCTACGCCAACTGAAAGACGAACTCGGGGAACTGTCGCTTCAAGACGAAAAGAAATTCAAACATCTGACACGGGCGGCAGAGAAGGAAATCCTTACAAATGCTGATGTTATTTGCTGTACATGTGTGGGTGCGGGCGATCCACGACTTGCAAAATTCAAATTTCGCACGGTTCTCATTGACGAGTCAACACAGTCTGCGGAGCCTGAATGCATGATCCCATTGGTTTTAGGATGCAAACAATTGGTTCTTGTTGGTGATCACCAACAGCTGGGCCCAGTTATTATGAATAAGAAGGCGGCGAGGGCGGGCTTACATCAAAGTTTGTTTGAGCGCCTTGTCATACTTGGCTGTGCGCCAATCCGCCTCAATGTCCAGTACCGTATGCACCCGTGTCTTAGCGAGTTTCCTAGCAATATGTTTTACGAGGGCAGCCTCCAGAATGGCGTTACCGTCCAGGTGAGCATGAGAGCAATACGATAGCTCCCCCAGCGGTTTAGGTTATATATTGACATACAGTAGGAGCGACTCCGGAGAAACGTTGATTTCCCCTGGCCCGTAGTGGATTCCCCTATGATGTTCTGGAGCAATCTTGGAAATGAGGAAATATCAGCCAGCGGGACATCATATTTGAACAGGTTAGTGATAGCCACATGCTCACTGTTAAACATACTTTTCTCTAACAGGCCGAAACAGGACGGAGGCTGCCGCATGTGAAAAAATTATCTCAAAGTTCTTCAAGGCCGGCGTTTCTCCCTCACAAATTGGGATAATTACACCGTACGAGGGCCAGCGGTCCTATATAGTATCATCGATGCAAACGAATGGCTCTCACAAGAAGGAGCTCTATAAAGATATCGAGGTAGCATCTGTGGATGCATTTCAGGGTCGGGAAAAGGACTATATCGTCCTATCGTGTGTCCGGTCTAACGACCACCAGGGAATTGGTTTTTTGAACGATCCCCGCCGTCTCAACGTTGCTCTCACCAGAGCGAAATATGGTGTTGTCATACTCGGGAACCCTAAGGTGCTGAGTAAGCATCCTCTTTGGCATCATCTTTTACTGCATTATAAAGAGCACAATTGTCTCGTCGAGGGCCCCCTAAGCAACCTTCAAATCAGTTTCATTCAATTTTCGCGGCCCCGACAGTCGTATCGCGGACCACAGCGTTTTCAGATGGCTTACTCAGGACAAACAAGTATGTCGTCGGGCTCTTTGGATCCTAGTAGTGGTGTGTCTAGGCCTGGAATGAATATGCACAGCTCTGGAGCAACACAGCCCGTCGGCATTGGGCGCTCGATTGGAAATCAAGGGCCCCGGCAAAGCGAATTGAATGACTCGGGGAGCGTCGTCGGATACATTCCAGATGATGTTTCGAGCGTTCACTCTGCGGCCGTTACCAGTGCTTTCCCGCCCATGTTTTCCGGGTTTACCTTAGATTCCTGGCCGAGTCTCCCAAATAGGTCGGGGTTTTCCGGAATGCAATCATTCGAAGGGCACGAAAAGAAGAACCCTACTTCACATATTGGACCTGCAACAGAAAGTATGGGCCGTGGGGACGGCCTAACCACGGGAGGCGTCTCTTTGGTTCATAGCTCCGGGCTTGAGTTTGTCACTCGAGAAGCTGGCGAGCTATCACTAGATAAAGCGGCAAGTCTAAACCAGTCTGACCGCCTCAAGCAGTATGTCGAAAGTAACGGGAGAGGAGCCACCCAAGATTACAAAGGAGTAGGTAGTATCCCGAGGGGTGCAAATGTCAGCCGGAATACGGTTTTAGATGAATCGAACAGCATATTCGGTCCGAATACAACCCGCAACCGGGACGCGAACAATATTGATGACGATGCTAGGAGCGTTAGTACAGCATTTGCAAGTCAGGTCGGTATCGTGGGATACGATTAATAAAAGGCTTTGCTGAGAACCTTTGTGATCGTGACTTTGCTATGTTCGGTTCTCGTCTCGACATGCGGATGTCTTCCTGTTTCCCTCCGAGGTGAGTGCTCCATGCCGTAATTTTTCAGACCATTTCCTCTCAGTTACTGAATGTACCAAAAGCAACCAGGACTGGAGGGCACATGTTAGAACCAGCAACTTTCACCACTGGAGAAAGCTTTCAGCTGGCGGATATCCAAGCGAATTATGCCTATTTCTCTTGTGGTGTTGTGGTGTGGGGAGGCCCACATCATGGCTTATGAAGTCTGTTAGTGCTAGCAGGTCCTGTATCTAATCTTTGTGCACCTATGTACTTCAGTACTTCTTACTTCTTGAACTTGTTATACATCTTTCCTTGCTTTCCTATCAAATGCCCTCGAACCTGGAACGCCGGATCGGTGCTATCCGAGCTATGCATATGCTATCGCGTGCGTGGCGCCAAGGGCCTGATAAGTACCTAGCCTACATGCAGGTGCAAACCTAGTTTAACCCCCAACCGTTGACCGCGTCCCAACGAGTAGCTCGAGCTCAAGCCTTGGACCTGCAGGGCCCAGTACGGCACTTGAAGCTCCAGATGTGCACAATACTGGCGGTTGGCTAAAAACATGGCACCTATCGGACAGCTCCAGTTACCTAAGCCGCAGGGATACACACGACTATTTAAGCTCGAGTTTTTTGATTCATTTCTCTCCCTCTCTCCTTATCCGATACAATTCCTAGCTACCACTACAATCCCACTCGCAACGACCGAACATCCCATTCATCTTTTAAAATTTCACCTCTTAGCTTTAAATAACTGAAGTTAATCCTTTAGCGTTAACTTCATATCCCTGTCATCTTCTCTGAAGTCAAAAAACAATCAATCGAAAAAAAAAGAATTATTGTACGACCTCTCGCTGTTGCAGTGAGAGATCAATCGAACCGCCACCACGTTTTCGAATCTTTTGCCTTCGTATGTAACAGTGCCTAGTTATCCACAGAGATGTCGTTCCTTACTAAACAAACCACTCCTCCTAGGGTTCACCACCCCTTCAACTCTAACCGCACCGCTGCTTCTGGCGGGCCGTTAGATTGCCTTTGCCCGCTCTGAATCCGCTACTCAGAAACATATCATTTAAGACAACTTACATTATTCACAAGTGCAATGGCCCCTCACGCTGATACCGGCGCTAATGGGAATGCACTCAACGGGCACGGCCAGGCGGGCCAACCGCAGGGTGATCTATTTACCGTCAATTCACCCCATGTGGTCTACACGGATGAATCAATCACATCATCTTATGTGTATCGCACCACTAAAGTGACTAAGACCCCCAGTGGAAACCTTGAGGCTACACCTTTCGAAACTAAGTATGATTTCAAGGTTGAACGGTGTATACCGAAGGTTGGATTAATGCTTGTTGGGTGGGGTGGTAACAACGGATCGACCGTGACTGCCGGGATCATTGCGAACCGTAAAAATCTCTCTTGGCCTACTCGTGAGGGCACCCAGAAGGCAAACTACTACGGGTCTGTGCTCATGAGCTCAACGGTCAAGCTCGGTAACGATGGGATCACTGGTGATGATGTCAATGTTCCCTTCCATAAGCTCCTCCCCATGATCCACCCTAATGACCTAGTTCTCGGCGGCTGGGATATTAGCAGCATGAACCTGGCTGACGCCATGGACCGGGCTCAAGTTCTCGAGCCTACCTTGAAACTGTTGGTGCGCAAGGAAATGGAGCAGATGAAACCTTTGCCATCGATCTATTATCCAGATTTCATCGCATCCAACCAAGGAGACCGCGCAGACAACGTTCTCCCAGGCGGTTCTGCACGTCAGGAGCACCTAGACAAAATCAGGACGGATATACGTGACTTTAAACTAAAAAACGCTCTAGATAAAGTCATTGTCCTGTGGACCGCAAACACCGAGCGTTACGCTGATATCATTCCCGGGGTCAATGATACGGCCAACAATATTCTTACAGCCATAAAGGCGGGTCACGATGAAATATCTCCTTCGAGCATCTTTGCTGCTGCATGTATCCTCGAAGGGGTTCCATTCATTAACGGCTCTCCTCAAAACACCTTTGTACCTGGAATTATCAGTCTTGCAGAGATTCACAAGAGCTATATTGGAGGGGATGACTTCAAATCCGGTCAGACTAAGATGAAGTCAGCGTTGGTGGACTTTCTGATTTCTGCAGGAATCAAACTCACGTCCATCGCAAGCTACAACCACCTTGGAAACAAGTATGTACCTCCATATTCCTACTATGCTTTCTATTCCGCTAACTAAGCTTTAAAAAAGTGATGGAAAGAACTTAGCAGAGCAAAAACAATTCAGATCGAAGGAGATCTCAAAATCCAATGTAGTCGATGACATGGTTGCCGCCAATCACATTCTCTATGCTGAAGGGGAGCATCCCGATCATACTGTCGTGATCAAATACATGCCTGCTGTGGGTGACCATAAGCGGGCGCTTGACGAGTACTACGGGGAGCTTTTTATGGGTGGACGCCAGACAATCTCGTGAGTAGACTTCGCCCATCAGTCCCATACATCTTAGGCGGGTTCTAACTATCGGCTAGAATTTTTAACGTCTGCGAGGATTCACTTCTTGCCTCGCCACTCATCATAGATCTTGCTTTGGTTACTGAGATGATGACTCGCATTTCCTGGAAGAATAGCTCCGATGACGAGTACAGAAACTTTCACCCAGTTCTTAGTATTCTAAGTTTCATGCTTAAGGTTCGGGAACCCTTTCCCTAGGTATAATTGCGACGAATATACTAACAATGTATTGCAGGCGCCATTGACGCCCCCAGGAACACCAGTGGTCAATGCTCTAGCTAAACAACGGAATGCATTGTGCAATATTTTCCGAGCTTGTGTGGGTTTGCAACCTGAGTCCGATATGACTTTGGAACACAAGCTGCTTTAAAGAGTTGAGTCTTGAATGACTGCTTTAATTTTCCCTTTCCCCCTTTCCCGTAGTTTATGGTTTTTTGTCTCCACCCGTGGTAGCCCCGAGGATGCCTAGCTTTTCTGGAGGGATTCAAGGTCGCCGCCTAGTCTTGTATTTAAATGCTTCAGAACTCTGACTCGCCGCCGTGACATGTAGGACAGACCCTCCTTTTTTTTATCCTCTGTGGAGGTTTTTTTTGGTCTGGGTTCATTTGTAAATCTACTACGCCTACCTATTTAGCTCAGCTTGCCGAAGCGTTTTAATACAGGACTACCTATTTAGTACCGGTACCCTGAATTATAATTATTGCCCACGACACTACCAGATACTTTGAACATATTTTATGAATTTACAGTTTTTCCAAGGAGTAATTAAACGGATCGAGAACTTCGGTAACCATATAAAGGTGATCACCAATATAAGGGCGCTGATCGTTTTGAATGCGAATGATACTTGATGTTCTGGGCTTAGGTATATAGGTACCTATATTCTAACTAGTCAACATGTCTAGCATAGCCCCAGACTTCGTCTACCGTCCTCCCCTTGGTTTCTGGTATGTATCTCGATACAAAGAGGAAAGAAACTAGTGAGATAGCACTGAAAATAAAAAAAACCTCTCCGTTACCTACTACTGCTCGTAGCAAAGGAAATCCAGACGCAACAGCAAATGTAGTCAACCAATTAGTGGTTAGGCCGATACTCTGAGCCGCTCCTACGGCTTCATGGCCTACTAATTCTGAGGCAATCATAAAGGGAAGTGGGCCGAGCCCAATCGCGAAACTGGAGACGAACAAAAGGGTCGAGATTCCTGAAAGAATCTGGATTTTGAATATGATCCCAGTGCCTAGTAATGCCGAAAATATACCCATACCCACGATAGATAGAAGTAAAGGTGGCTTTCTACCAACCTTGTCGATGATTCTTGCGGCTATCGCTGTAACGAAGAGGTTTAGGAGAGAAACAATCACATTGATGAGAGTCGCTCCAGTCGGGATTATATCCCCAAGGATTGAAACGCCGTACATGATGATAGCGTTGATTCCCATAAACTGCTGTGCAATCATGATACCAACGACTGCAATGAGCTGTCGTCGATAGTCGGCCATAGTCATGAACTGGTAAAGTGTTATTTTAGGAGTTGTAGGGGCCGTGGCTTCCATTGGCTGGCCTAGGAGCCTTTGGTTCGGAGTGGCATCGTCAAGATTGTCGTCCCCATCCGGACTTCTAATGTCGCCAAATGACACAAGTTCATCATCAACATCGCTTCGTCCGCGCAACTTTACAAGTGACCGGTATGCCAACTCTCTATTCCCAACCGAGGCAAGCCATTTGGGGGACTCGACACAGAATGGCAAGAGTAAGCATTGTAATAGACCAATGAACCCACCGACGGCGAGGATGATACGCCAATAAGGCACCGTAGAGAGGAACAGGCCAAGGAATTGGGCGACGAGAATACCAAGGTTGATTATGACCTGTGTAGAAGCTCCGCTGTATGGTAGTCTAAAGTCAGCTCAAATTATCTAGGTTAAAGACAGAGCGAAGGTTTCAAACGCACAAAGTACCGGCATATTCGACAGGGGCAACACTGTGAATGTATAGGGGTGCAATGACTACGGAACTGCCAGCGCTGAGGCCCGAGATAACACGCCCAAGACTTAAGGTGGTAACATTAGTAGCAAGAGCCATAAGAATGGGGCCGATGATGAATCCAATGGAGTTGAACATGGCAGTCCGTTTCCGTCCATATGTGTCGGCGATGGAGCCGGCGGAGACCGCCCCGATAAGACCACCGACCGAAAACACAGAGGTAACAAGCCCGTAAGTTTGCTCGGACATTGGTATACAGGGCCTCATATCTAGTTCTAAAGAAGTCCCATGCCCATTGCAGCTAATGATATCTTGAGGGGCATTTAGCTCAGCCTAAGGCATAGGAAATTGATTAGGCCTGTGTTAGTAGGCGAACTCGTGAGACATCATCTGAGAAACTCTTGGAAGACGAAGGTACTTGCTATATGGTAGCCAAACAGAAAGGAGCCAAGGCTCACAACAAGCACGTTGTATAGTAGGCAAGGGGTGACGTCCCTCATTTTTTTTTTCCCCCTTTCGCCTAGGCCCAGTGATAGTTCCAAGAGAAATGGTTTTGTGGGCGAATTTCAATGGTGATGGTTGACGTACGATGATATGATATATCGAGGTGTGGTTGTTAGTACTAGTACTAGAACCTGGTAATCCCGTTTTGGAATGGACCTCCTGTCCAAACCACACTATACCAAACCAGATCAGACCAGGGACTAGCACCACCCCGTAAGGCGCAATGTAACTCGGCACAAAGGTCGTCAATGGAAGACCAGATCGCGAAAGCAGCCCATATATCGGTACCCAGCGCCCCCATCTCTGCAATGCCTCTGCCTCCCTATACTTCTAAAGTCAAAGTTCTTGATAAATACCACATAATCGGGTTTATTTCCTCTGGAACTTATGGCAGAGTATACAAGGCGCGTTCTCGACACCCCGGTACTACCGGTGAGTTTGCGATCAAAAAGTATGGATCCTTCAGCCGGCTTGATAGTAATGTTTGGTATGAATCGTGTCGTGTCTGACGGGATCGCGCCAATAGATTCAAACCGGACAAAGAAGGAGAAGTTATAAACTATACTGGTATATCGCAGTCAGCATGCCGTGAGATGGCGGCAAGTCTATTTCTGTCCCCGCAAGGGAGTGCATGGTTTTTAGCTAATCGGTGCTTCCTCCACAGCTTAACAGCGAACTCGCTCATGAAAATGTCATCCATCTTCACGAAATAATCCTGGAAGACAAATGTATATATATGGTCTTCGAATACGCAGAACACGATCTCCTGGTAAATAGCAGTATTGGTATCTAGTCTTTTAGGAATTTGGTTATTGATGGCAAAACAGCAAATAGTTCACCATCATTCCCACCCCGAACGTCGGCTCATTCCGGAATCCACAATCAGATCTATCTTATGGCAGCTGTTGAATGGAGTTTCGTACCTACACCAAAATTGGGTGATGCATCGAGATTTGAAGCCTGCCAATATCATGGTAACCGCTTCAGGTGAAGTCAAGATAGGCGATCTAGGGCTAGCTAGAGTTTTCTGGAAACCACTAGCCGCCCTTTTTAACGGAGACAAGGTGGTTGTAACGATATGGTATAGGGCGCCAGAGTTGCTCCTTGGATCACGGCACTACACTGCTGCTATTGGTATGGAATCATCACGTATTCAAACTGGTATCATCGAGTTGAAACTGACGCGCTAGATACTTAACGGCAGACCTATGGGCCGTCGGCTGTATTTTTGCCGAGTTGTTAGCCTTACGACCAATATTTAAAGGAGAAGAAGCGAAGATGGACTCAAAAAAAACAGTGCCTTTCCAGAGAAATCAAATGCAGAAGATAATCGAGATATTAGGCACACCCACAAGTACGTATCGTTCAATTGGAAGAAATCGGATAGCACGGAAAGGTTCTGTTCAACGCTTAACCTGGCTCGCTCTTTAGAAGAAAGATGGCCCTCGATCACCCAGCTACCTGAATACCCCCAAATGGCGCCTTTTAAACCGTATATCTGCAGTCTCGAAACCTGGTACCAACAAGTCGGCGCCACAAATAAATTAGGATACGAATTATTGAGCGGCCTTCTGGAATTCGACCCGGTCAAAAGATTAACTGCCCAACAAGCACTGGAACATCGTTACTTTACTGAAGGGCCGAAGATTAGTCTGAAGTGAGATGAATTACTTGAAATAATTTTGAGGTATAATTGAGGCTGACCTGGTTTCATTCTAGTGCCTTCGAGGGCTCATTTATCGAGTATCCTCATCGCAGGGTCAGCTCTGACGACAACGATATTCGGACAAGCTCGCTACCTGGGACGAAGCGCAGCGGATTACCAGACGACAGCCTTCAACCTCGGACTAAGAGGGTCAAGGCTGGCGAATGAGGTATAAATTGGAAGTATTCACCTGATGTCAATCTGTATCTTCTCACGTGAAACGGCGTCTGGAGCTGGTTCGTAGTTAAGTACTTAATTACATATATATGCTGCCTAAGCGGCACCATGGTAGTAGATACAAGCTAGTCAATTGCAACCCAAGTGGGCACTACTACCTAAGTACCTATAAGTAAGTAGGTAGTTGCTTGATGTTTTAAAATTTTGTTTGGTTTTGAATTTAATTCATGTTTGGGTCAATCAAGAAGCATTCAAGTCGACATTAGAGCGCGCAGAAGCCACTAAAATAACGTCCGTTAAAAATAGCGTGTATGTGTTTTTCCAATGCAAGCTTCTGCAAGGCGAGGAGACTTTCCGCTAGAAATCTGAGAGTTTATAGTCATGCTGTGATGCACAAACACGGTGCGATCTCCGACGCGCGCCATACATAGTATGGGCTGACTAGGCCAATCTGACCGACCAGCCTCGCTGCAGCGGAGGATCCTTGTAATAATTAAGTACTTCCACTTACCTACCCGCACTAAGTACAGTACTTAGCAACAGCAGCTCCTTTCCATCTTCACGTACCAAAAACCCCATCAGAAATAATAAGTACAATCGGCGGCGGGCTGGTTGTCCGGCTTGATTTTATAGAGTAAATAGAGTATATCTTTGTCCAGTTCCCTTCGAAGTTTGGGGTTTTATGGTCGGGGAATTCGAAGGTCAAAATCGCACTTTTAAGCCACATACCAAGTAAGTAAGTACTCCCTTAGTATCCCAACCACGCACGACTCTATCTTTCCAAACACATCTCGACCTTCTTCCCCTTTCTCGCACCGCTCTAACCCACAGACTTTCCTCAACCTAGAATCTCCCCCCCCCCCCCCCCCCCTCGGCAAGCTTCTCGGGTATCGCCTTCTATCACAAAACCGATCGTATACATTGCGAAATAGCTAGGCACAAGGGCATCTGTCCAAATCAGCAATCAAAATGGGTGGTCAAATTTCTAAGATGATGGTATGCTCCCAGCCACGATCCAGCTCGACGCCCCGTCAGCAAACTAACAACTAATGCCCGACAGGCCAAACTTTTTGGCTCCAAAGAGATGAGGTTGCTTATGTTAGGTCTTGATGCTGCTGGAAAAACAAGTAAAACCCTACCTGATGATCTCTGTGATTTTGGCGTGTTGGCGCCTTTCTCTGGTCGCGTAGTTGTCGTTTTTGGCATCGCTAACAAGTTGATACCCTGTAGCAATACTGTACAAGCTCAAGCTCAACCAAGGTGTCACTACCATCCCAACCGTCGGATTTAACGTCGAGACGGTCACATACAAAAATGTCAAATTCAATGTTTGGGACGTTGGTGGCCAGGACAAGATCAGACCGCTCTGGAGGCATTATTTCTCAGGTTGGTATACGAACCCCTGTATGTTTTTTTTATCGCCGTAGCCAGTCGCTTACTTTGTTTCCTTCGACATAGGTACCCAGGGTTTGATTTTTGTCATAGATTCGAACGACAGGGAGAGAATCGACGAGGCACGACAGGAGCTCCATCGTATTATTCAAGACCGGGAAATGAAAGAAAGTTTGTTACTTGTTTTTGCGAATAAGCAAGATTTGCCGGGAGGTATGCCCGCATATATATCTCCCCGAAATGCTTTGCTAACAAATGCTGACCTGATTTGACTACCCTTAGCGATGTCTCCACAAGAAGTGACAGAGAAACTTCAGCTGAGCAAACTAAAGGATCGGATATGGTATGTTGTACCGTCGTGCGCCACGACCGGTGAAGGTTTGATAGAAGGCCTGGTATGCTTGATCATATAATCATAATCGAAATTCTCAGTATCGTCGCTGACACCATATATATAGGGATGGCTATCAAACAACGTAAAGGCTCCAACCACTCGTGCAGCATAAACGTGTGTGTAATGCGACGGGTCCTGCGGGCCCTTACTTCTACCTGCTCCTCTCCCACCATACCCGTGGGCACTATTGACTTCTACCACGCCGTACATTTGATATAGTTCTATTTTAATCGAGCAGGTTGAAGTTACGTTTGTAGACTAATATAATCAGACTTAGCGATCCGGCTTTCTTGTTGACAGGTACAGCATGTTCGCGGGACCATATTTTCTTACATTTGTTTCTATACGCCGCCATTACCCTGAACCCGTTTCCGTAACTACCCGAATTGATACTATCATAAGGTTCAATGGGGTGGAAGAATCCCTGGAAGTGAATCACTATTTTGTAGAGACTATATGATATCCCCGTTGGAAGGCAACTCGCAACTCTGAACACCTGTGTTGTTTTTTCGCATTGTTCTTTTTTTCGAGAAACCTATCGGGCCGCAGCACATTCACGCAGCCAGTTTGCCAAATACCCTCTGTGCTTTGCTTTTCTGGTATCCACGATTCTGTTGTTGAGAGCCAATCCCTTGTGAAAGGCCAGCATCGTCGGTATCGACTTGATCGAATATAGAGAAGCAAGACTTGAAGTCGTCGGGAGGTCAATTTCAACTTCTGCGAACCCGAGCAATGATCCATTCTTAGCCTGTTCATCAACTAAGTCCTGAATGAGGGGTCGTATAGCGTGGCAAGAGGGACACCATGATGCAGACCAAAGGGTGATGAGCGGAAGTCTACGGGATGTAGAGAGCACGAGCAGGGTGTAAAGCTCATCTTCGGACCGAACGGGGTCGAAGATGCGTAGTCTAGGTTTCGAAATATGGAGTAGGCGACAATGTCGGCGTAAGCCAGCGGACCGGAGAGACTGTCGTTGCAGGATCGGAAGGAGCATTGTTCTTTTTCCCGTCAGAAATGGTGAAGTCTTCAGCCTCGCAATAGCTGGGGGAGTTACTTGCTCCGCAAACTAGTCTAGTGGCGGAAATATCATACGCTAGTCGAAAGCCGAGCAGGCTGGCTTAGTCATTTTTAGAATAAGCTTCCCACCATTGGCGTCGGCTAACTAGTTCCATGCCTACTCAGTATGTCTACTAACTTGAATTCTTCGATATCCCATTAGTTGATTAGTAAGGTCCCATCGCTTGCACGCAGGAGACGAGTGCTACCTGGTATGGTGATGGTGTATAAGTACTGACAGTTCAGTCTGGTTCAGAATCCGGCCCTGTCGATCACCCCAAACCGTTCTTCACTTCACTTCACTTCATTCCACTTCGGATCATTTCGCTTCATCTCACTTCATCTCACGTCGTTTCACTTCACGGAAATTCAAAAAGTTGTTGTAGCCCCTCGGCTCACTTTGTATTACAGCATATTGCAACCATTGTCCAATGGCGCCCCAAACCAACGACAGCACAATGGCTTCTCTCCCTCCTGTTCCCGAGGCAAAAGGCAACCAGGTTGATGTCCCGCCATGTTTGCTTTCCCCAGCTTTCACGCCGCCTTCAACCCCGGGAACAAGAACTCCAGGGCGGTCTACAGAACCCGCAACTAGTTCTGCGTCGGAACAAAATGCAGTCGTTCAGCCGACGTTATTAGAAGAATTACCAAAGGTAGGCATGGTTGCTTCCCCTTCTTCACCGAGACGTCCACTGAACAAATCCCGGCCCACCCGTTAGAAGTATTCGCATGCTAACAATAGCTACTGTTTGCTGCTGGTGCATTGATTTTGTAGGTGAAATGCCAAGTCAGAGCAAGAATACCGAGGTAAGAGACACCGCCCCCATCCCTAAACTCCCCCGTCCAGTTGTTAACAGGCTTCCCGTTGGTCTCTTTCAACTGTAGGAATGGTGGAGGCGAAATCTTCCTCCACTTGTATACCAACAATATCGATAACAAAGAGCATCTCGCAATCGTGTTTGGAGACGTCATCCGTTCCAGATCATTAGATGCCCCACAGGAGAATGAAACAGAAATGGTGCGGATGACTCGGGGTGCTTATACGGGTCGTTTATATCCTGGTAGAACGTCATCCGCAGCTCTATCCCCAAACCAGGTTGTTCAACCACCGGAAAATCCCATTCCTTTGGTTCGGATCCACTCCGAATGCTACACTGGGGAGACTGCATGGTCGGCCCGGTGCGACTGCGGCGAGCAGCTTGATGAAGCCGCTCGTCTCATGACGCTCGAAGGTAATGGTGTTGTGGTGTACTTGCGTCAAGAAGGTCGGGGCATTGGGTTGGCCGAAAAATTAAAGGCTTATAACCTCCAAGATCTCGGAAATGATACGGTTACGGCGAATCTGCTCCTTCGCCACCCAGCTGATGCTCGATCATATGGGCTAGCTACTGCTATACTCCAAGACCTCGGTCTGTCGATGATTAGGCTGTTGACCAATAACCCGATAAAGGTTGCAGCGGTCGAAGGTCCAAACAAGGAGATCAAGGTCGCGGAAAGAGTTCCAATGGTCCCCTTGGCTTGGAAGGGCTTAAAAGGAGGTGTCTCTGGGGAAGAAGTCGATAATTATCTAAAAACAAAGGTAGGCCATTCTTTCCATTTGTGCGAAGGCCAAAAATAACTAAAAACGTGTCATAGATTCACCGTATGGGCCACCTCCTTCCAGATTTAGGTCTCTGAAGTTGAAATATATTTCCGTCCTTTACAAGTATCTTGCCCTGGCCCTGTATTATTTTCGTCCGGTTATACTCTTGTTCGTTTTGAGAATGTTTTCGTCATTTCTAGAGCCTAACTTGGTGTCCTGGGGAGTCATTGTTTCTTATTGTCATTTTTTCAAATATCACCCTAGCCTATCACCTCAGTCATAGGGCGCCGTGGTAATTTTGGCCTCTCAAATATCATCATACAGTCCCTACTCCGTATTTTGTTGCTGAAAGCACATGTTTAGATTTTCTCGGCTGATAGCCTTATCCCTTACCGTTCCAACATGCCCTATTGTGAATGCACACCTGTCTACAGTTGGAAGAAAAATATGATAATTCTAGATCTATGGCTAAAGGCAGTGCATGAATGGACCTAGCTCCTTTGATACAATGTAAATTCTTTGCATTGTGGGTAACGAAGAGCTTAGGCCGTATTGTAGCGAATGGGGATGGCCTTTAACCCCGGGGACCTAACTTCTCTAGGGCTCTTTTCCCTTGCTCCTCCCATTCAGCTTTTGTTATCCACATTCCCTCATTCTCAGCCATCTAATATAGTAAAACAATAATTAATTAATTAATGCGGCATAAACGGGATACCGGTTTGTACAACTTACGATATTGCCGAGCACTGAACCTCCCATAAATACGAGATGCCGTCTTCTCGGCGGGTCCTCGACCCTAACTTTAAATTTCTGCGAGTTACCAAAACGTGTTAGTTAGCTGTTTCTGGGGTATACGGAGGGTGTTCGGGGCCTGCTCTGACATTCAATCTAGTGGGGTCCCCGTTGAGGACCCTCGTCAGCCATAATTGCTTAAGCTCCTTCTCCAACCGGCTTGGGAGCCCAGGGTACATGCTGGAGCCCCCGGAAAGGACAATTGCCTTGAACAAGCTAGATCTGACGTCCACCTCAGCACTTTGGATCGTGCTAAAGAGAAATTCGCCTAAGCCTTCTTGATCGCAGTCGACTAAATGTGGTTGGAATAAGCATTCTGGCGCCTCGAAGCGTTCGCTACCTATCCGGATAACGCGGCCGTCTGGCAGCGTGTAGTTCTCGACGAGAACAGTAGTTTCTTCCGCGAGTTTTTGATCAAGTTGGAGGTCATAGGAAACATAACAAAGCTTTTCCTTTATTTGACGGACGGTTTCGAAATCGGCTGTGCGGTTTAAGGCATACCCGCGACGTAGGAGAAGCTTAATAAGCTGTCGGGTGACGTTACGACCCGCCACGTCGAGACGGCGGGTCAGGTGGTTGAGAACAACAGATTCGTAGACTGGAACAATATGAGTAACACCGTCTCCGGAGTCTACAACGACACCACTGCTGAGACCTAAAATGTATTAGATTATAGCATACAAATAGGGGAATTATGAGCATACCCTGTGCATATAGGGCGAGCACGGCCTGTATCGCAACATAAACTCCACCGAAGTTATAGTTTTCGAACATAACTTCACACATTTTCTCGCGATTACTCAGGGGATTCAATGGGGGTTCTGTAAGGAGAATCTTCCGGCCCGTTGGGTCGATTTGAAGTTTTTCGTTGAAGGTGTAATCCCATAGATGGAGCATATCATCCCACTTCTTGACGATGCCGTTTTCCATCTGTTTAGATGTTTAGCTAAGCAGCTCTTCAGCCGGACGGAGGGTATATGTTCTAAGGTTGAAGACACACCGGGTAGCTGATTTGTAGCATAGTCCTGACTTTGGCGGCTTCGTCCCCGCACATGATATCCCTTAAGAGGACTTCGCCTCCCGTTTCCCTCTCTTCCGTTCGTAATATCGGCCTCCCAACAATACTTGGGAATTGATGCTCGGGGAAATTTGATCCGGCATAGCCGACTTTGAGACTATCCGTAGGGTGGCACGTTAACTAGGTACTCTCTGGGTTTGTGTATGGTTGAGGGCGAGCGACTGCCATCGACCTATTCAAAATAACGGTTTCGCTCAAAAAAAAAACGTTTTGACTTACAATCCGGTACCGCCATCGAGAACTATAACATCACTCAAGTTAGCACAATCGACCAGATTCGGGAACGACAAGGAATTTAGTCGCGACGTAAACAGACGAGACAAATGCCACTACTCTTATAATTTTGATTAGGGGATAAGCTGGGCAGTATAGACGAACCTATTGGAGCCTCGGACATTGTGAAGGGCCGGAAACTTATGTATCGTTACAGTTGGAAGTGGTGGATGATGGAGTGTTGGTGACGACTACCAGCGTGGACAGGTGTGGGGTTTCTGGTAAGCTCAAGCTACCAGTTACTAATTCCCGACCCAGGCTGGTCGATCACCAAAACCAACCTCCGGGCTTTCTTGCCAGTACAACAACTCAAAACTTGCGATAACCCATACCGACATCAATGGACGACAGATTTCGTTTCGAGCACCTGTCGCAAAAAGATATGTTCTGATCTCCCTTCATTATTGATTACAGGAAGCTCATGTCTTTATGGCTAACAAGACAAGTTTATACTGGGCAGGTTAAGCTTACTTCTGCAAAACCTCCAAAAGAAACACGATGATATCCGCGCTTGTAACGACAAAATTGTCAAGATTGGGGTCGAGATGAAGAATTCATTAGGCCCGATCAAGAATGGGTTACACATTGAGAAGGAGAAGCTATCAAACAACACGGCCATGAGACCCCGCAATTTCAATGCTGCAGATGAAACAGGCATGGAAATCGGCGACGATGACGTTGTGTCGGGAATCTAGGTTTAATTGGATTCCCGGGATCTGGCTTGCGATTTCTGTATCGATCGGCTTATGATAGGCTCCTTTGGCCTTGATCCCAATATCATGGTAGCATAAGAACGAGAGCCTGTGTTATAGATTACGCCTATCTACCACCAATCTCGAGAACCAAACGCCTTTCGACTTCTGTCTCTTTCCCGACTTCTTCCTCCCCTTCGAACTTCAGCCGGCATGTTCCGTCCCTCTAAAAAAACAAAAAGGGCGGAAACCCCGCCGATAACGTCAGTGTTCTGGCCTAATTATGAAGACTGCCTTGGAAGGAAAACCACAAAGCTAAAATATTACGGAACGTACCTTTGTTCCAATTACCTCGGCTTTATAGAAGGTAGTTGTTTCAGGATACCTAGCTAAAACTTGCTTGCCATTTGGGTATGGGAGTAAACCAGCAGAATCGCTCGGGATCTGGATAAGCTGATGCGCAACAGCCTTGTATATCTGCTGTCCATGGTTCCCAAGTTCATCCGGTTCAGGATCTTGGACTTCATATCTACACACAATATTAGCACCCAGCGGATAAACATATCTTCCCCATCCGATACCCCGCCAACTTACCGTCGTTTGTTCCCTTCTCCTATGATGTTGATGACATCGCATTGGATCCACTCACCCTCCGCACCCTTCTGCTTTGGCAACCGGAAAGCTACTTGTGACCCGACCTGAAGAACAGGCCCATTTTCGTTCGGGACCGACATGCTCCTTGGCTTCCCACGGCTCGCCGAGCTATCAACCGAAACGGCCTCATTTCGTTTCCTCTTAGAAAACCCGTCCCGGCCAGCTTTTGTTGCGATTATTTGATTAGTACTCAGAGCCCTACTCGAGTCTTCCAGTTTAAGGGAACTCACTGCCAGAACTCCCGTAGCCTTGCTCCGTGGCCTTGCGCAACCCGATTAGAATAGACAAGTTATGCTCAATCACATGGCTTAACAACCTGTTGATTATGGTAATTCTGGAGTTAGCAAATGAAGAGCAGACTGTGATAGTGATATTGATTACCTGGATTCTTCATCAGTCAAAGCTTTAAGGCCCTTGTAGCAAGTTGCCAATTCTTGAAGGTCCGCAGAAGTGGCTAGATTTATCCTTTGTGTTAGAACCGCCATAATTGAAGTTGGGGCGTTTCATCCCAATCCTTTCTTACAGACTTGGTTGTGAATATTGGACTTACCATCGTGACGACGATTTCTCTCTTCAAGAGTATCAATCTTGCGTCGGATGTCATTGACTTTCGCTTCGTGAGCCATGAGAGCTTTTAGTTCATTAACGACCTTTTGCCAGAGGGAGCGCTCCTCCTGCTGCTCAGGCTGATGCATCAAGCGGTTTCCACGTTGGGACATCTTTATTTTCTGGGAGTTGGTATTAGAAAGGGCTATAAACTTAAGTAAGTAAGTACTTAAGTAGCTAAGCTACCTGGCACTGCAGGGCGAGGGCTGCGCGGGTGTGCACGTGTGGATGCAACTAGGTTGGTGAGAATCACAACGCTACTGGCCAGGAATATGTGGATTCTGGACGTTGGCAACGTTACAGATCAAAGCATTTCTGTAGTTAGAATAAAGAATGACCCTTCTCAAATTACTTGCCGGAGGGACTATGTCGGAGGGACGTCACCAGTGATCTGATCAAATAAGGATCGATAGGAAGATGCTCGGCCAGCGATCTCGTCGAGCTGCTATCATTGTGTTCCCTCCTTGGAGACAAGATGTTCACGTGATATGGCGAAACACAACACGAAAGTCTCATCTCACAACACAGCAACACATTGGATTGAGAACTACAGCTCTAACATATCGATACCTTTCACATTGGCTTCAAGATCACCCTCCGCCCCGGTTCCAATTTTCCTCTACATTTAGCACCGGCAACAGCAATTTATTTGTTTTCTATTTTGATCTACAAAAAATGGGTTTTCACTCTCCTACACTTTTGTCCTCCTATCTTTTACATTTTTTAAGAACAGTCCCAACCCAAAAATCCATATCACACCCAACCAGTATAACGAATCACTCTCAACCGCACGACGGCACGAAATAAAAGAGGCCATGGATTTGTCGGGTGACTACGGTATTACACCTTTCATCGCAGTGCCTGTACCGCCTGTGGAGGGGTTTGACCCGCAAACCAACCCTATTTATTTCTTTTATCCCGATGGCGGAAATGTTACATTTACGATGGCCCAGATTGACTCATTCCGCCAGGATCAGTTATTCACAAATGGGATATTTGCGACTCAAGTCGGCGCTGCTACTGCGACCCTCTTTGTTATGATATGCATCACTGCCGCTGAAAAACGGAAAACTCCAATATTCAAAGCCAACTTTATCAACATAGTCTTGGTTATTCTCAGAGGCATCCTTTTTATGCATTATTTTATGAGCAGCCTAGCAAGGACGTATACAATATTTGCATGGGATGTTTCCGGTGTCCCAATATCAGACATAAATGCTAGTATCGTGTCATCGGTGCTATCGCTACTGCTAATGATTGGCACCCAAATATCACTGTTACTTCAAGTGCGGATCTGCTGGGCGCTGAATCCTCGATCGAAAGCGAGGATTCTAGCCACATGCTGTTCGGTCAGCAGCGTCGCCACCGCTGCTTACCTTTCCCTGGGGGTATACATTATACAGTTGCAAGGAAGACCGCCCGACCTGAGAATCACCAAGTGGGCCAATCCGCTAGTAAATGCGTTGGTCGCCCTCAGTATTATCGTATTCTCAGCGACTTTTACATGGAGAATGTACCAATCGGTTCGAAATCGACGCCGCATGGGGTTTGTAGGGTTGGGATCTCTGGAGAGTCTCTTGGTGTCCGGTGTTCAGACACTTCTATTTCCAGGTATGCCATATACAATATCTAGGGAGATTTTTTCTATTCTATATACCTTAGGACTAACGTATGGCCCTCCCTTAGCTATATTTTGCATTGTGGAAAACTTCGTCAAGTTCGGAGGGTCTGCATCGCTGGCGCAAGCTATTATAGCAATTGCCCTACCCATATCGCATGTTTGGGCAAGTACAGTGCAAGCAAATAGCAGGCCATCGATGGCAAAAATCGAGAAACTAGCGAGCCAAAAACCCTTTTGGGACCGGATGGTAGCCGCTCGAGACGCTCGGGTTCAGGCTTTCTCGAAGTTCGTCAAATCTACCATCTCAACAATCCAGCGACCTTTTCGGGGAGTCTCATTTCGACGGAAGAGGGACCAAATGCAACCTCCAGAAGGCACTGTTTTAGCATCACAACCACCCGGCGTCTCTAACATCGATATAGAGGCCGGTGAAACTTCGTTTCGTTCTTCCGAGTACTCCAAAGACTTCTCCGGATTTGGCAAAGACCTTGAAGCAGGACATGGCCTTTGACAGATACCCAAAAATTCAAGAGGGGGCGTAGCGGATACCCAGGAGCTGTTTACTTCCAAGTTTCTTACATCTCTCTCTTTTTATTTTATTTTTTATCGCACCTTCTTCATTCCAGGGATACCCGCTCTTATTTTAGAGAGCTAAAGTTTAGATCAAAATGTGTATATGTTAGCAATCCTGTGCTGTCCGAGTTTAGTTGTACAGATATTATTGCCTATGTGTAAACGTAAATATGGAACATGTGCGTGCCTGGAAACCAATTCTTTCATTCCCACCCACGCATGCCATGCGCATATGTAGGCGAACCACCCAACTTTAGCTCGATAGTCGGGGTTTAAGCGTGAAATAGATGGGTCTTGGCTGTCCGCTTTCTCCTAGCTTAAACCATCTCTATGTAAGCCAAAGTCCGCCCAAAGAACCTACTTCCAAAACCTACTTCAAAGCAAGCAACTTAATGTTGAGATCAAATCATCCCCAATATCTCGATACCACCATAGTCTATCCGGTCATCTTCTCTATGGCGCGGCCAGCTCCGAGGACTCCACCCGCAAGATATAGATTCCCCTCTGGTACGACCCTTGTTTCGCGTTGCAGACGGGTGCCGGGGCTAGCTATTCAACTGCATCAATATTCAGGGTCCCCTGAGAAAGCCTAAGCACACAGGACCCACATCTTCCTCGACATATACGTATCCATTCTAGAAACATATACCGAATAATATCGGCCCCCTTCGCTATAAGGATGTCAAGGCCCCCTTCTACAGTGCGTGACGAAGTTCAGTCGTCGGAGCCTCTGCTCGACGCTGAGAGAGGCCGAAGCACAAGGGTTGATGGCGAAGGGAATTCTGTACGCAGAGCAGAGTTCCGATCGCGGTCGCCCGTGACCGTGTAAGCTAGGAGAACCGTGATTCTCGATATATAAGTCACCATTTTACCGAAAACTGATCGAGGTCTCGGCCAAAATAGACAAAATAACCGTAACCGTTATGCCCTGGCAGCACTCATGCTTGTGCTCTCGTTAGGCTCTTTCGTCCTTCAAACGGAGACCGCCCAGTATATCCAGAGAGATCTGGGGTGGAATAAAGCATACTGCATGATGCAAGTGAACAACATGCCTGGTGTTCATTAAGGGTTGCCGCTAACCAGGTCGCGATGGTTGTTGCTCCAAATAGGTATCTCACACATGGTTCCTGGGCATTTCTCTGGCCGGCGCAGTTACTCGTTTTACGGATTCGCAAACGACAAATACCGTTCAAGAACCTTCTTCGATCCCATGTGTCTCTTCTTCGGTCAACACTTGATATGATACTACAAGCGGATCGCAGTAGCCACCCTCAAGATGTGGCCCATCCCTTCTATTATCTACTAAGATGCATCGCCCTGGTAACTACTGCTCTTACGATAGCTGGGTCGACTTGGTATATCGCCGTGTATGTTGTCAACCCACCTATCCCCTTCCACCTCACCACTTACTTATAGTTCACTCACGACTTTGGTATATTTTAGGAATTTGACAACACCATCAGATCTAACGGCAATTTACAACTGCAGCGCATTTTTTGCATATGCTTTTTCGATTCCGCTGCTACGAGAGAAGCCTCAAGCAGATAAAATTATCAGCGTCATGATTGCTGTCGTCGGTGTCCTTGTGGTTGCGTACGGTGATAATACGAACAAACAGGAACAGGATGGCAGTGCGAACACTAGGTTGGGGGGGAATATGCTGATAGGGGTAGGCAGTGTCCTCTATGGACTCTATGAGGTACTGTATAAAAAGCTACTTTGCCCCCCAAGCGGCACAAGCTCGGGCAGATCAGTTATCTTTTCGAATACCGTCTGTGCATGTATTGGGGCGTTTACCTTGGTAGGTTCTAGTACCCAATTATTCAATGTTGATAGTACGAGCATTATCTTATTCCACAAATAGCTTATCCTTTGGATTCCGCTGCCACTACTACATTGGACCGGATGGGAGACATTCGAAATACCTACAGGCGAGACCGCAAAGCTACTTAGTATATCAATATTCGCAAACGCTGGTAAGTCGATAAAAAGCCATATTCGCCAAAGTTATCTGAACTAACACACCGCAAAGTTTTTAGCGGATCATTCTTAATCCTAATCAGCTTAACGAGCCCCGTTCTTAGTTCCGTTGCGGCGCTGTAAGTCCTAACACTGCTTACTATTCCTATTTTACCTTAATGTTCACCCGCTTCAATATATACAGACTCACAATCTTCCTCGTTGCGATTACCGATAACATTCTCTTTGGTAGAGAGCTAACGTCTGCTGCGATTATTGGCGGATTACTGATTATTGCGGCCTTTGGCCTCCTCAGCTGGGCAACATGGAAGGAAATGCGGGAGGAGAGTGAAAAGGAGGCAACTGACTTAACATCAGATATCGAGGACCATGATGATTAAATTCACATTTGTTATGGAAAGCGTCTAATTTGAAAACGAGGTAGCAGGTCGGAGCTTCAGGGGTAATAATATTAGTAATTATATTGTATAACTACATTATATTGATCAATGCCGCTAATACGAAGAAAGAGCAAGCAATCCGGGTATTCTATTTAAGCATCTGCATGTTGCGCAATGGCAGATATTTTGGGGATATCACTCATCGGCATCAACCTTTTTCTGCAAGTCCTTTTCGACACTTCTTATAGCAGCCTTCCCTCCGTCATGCTGTCTCTTATATCTCTCCTGTTCAACCTGGTCGTTACTTAGCGCACCCCCAATAGCCCCACTGATCCTGTCAGCGTAACCGTCGACCAGATCACTGGCCTGGCCGGATGTTTCTTGTTGTACTCCCTCATCGTATTGTGCACGGCCCTGTGCTTTGAGTGATTCGTTTCCGATCATACCACCTACGAATTGTTTACCCTGTTGTGACCAGGCAACATGGCCTTGTAAGCCTTCTGTTTAGTGAGAAAACAAAGGGGTTGAGAACTTACGGAGCCAATGGTCTGGTTCCAGCTTCCTTGCTGACGGTCCTTGCTATCGACATGAGTACCACCTTCAGCCGTTGCGGTTACCGGTCCCAGTCTGTCCAAAAAAAAAAAAAAAGAAGTTAGAAATTATAGAACATAAAAACCTCTAAACTATATGATACATACTTTCCAGCCGCATGAGATCGTTCGTTTTCTTCCTCGGCATCGATTTTTCGAGCTGTGCCATCCTGGATATCCTTGGTGCTGCCGGTGAGCTGACCGATTCCGCGCTGAACGGCACCAGCGATTCCCTGAAAAGCCGAACCGAGAGCTATAATTATCGGAGAATTTCATGATTAGACAGGGTTCTCATCAATAACATCTGGTGTTATGCACCTATTTTGGAGGGAGGTGTGAAACGTACTGGATGCTTGATTGTTATTGTTCTCCGACATTTTTAAGATACTGATCTAGTTGTAGGTAGGTACTTAGGTATCAATATAAAGTGTGTGTAGTATAGTAGAGTAAATTTTCTAAGGTATAAGTTTGGATTGTTTAGATGGATTGAAGAATGGATGTTCCAATACTAATATTTGAAGATCGCCCGGAATCGCGAATTAGCGCATCTTATATAGACATATTTCTGGGATAGCTGATGGTATACAAGCTCCATGTGCAGCGTTGATCGTCAAGTGAAGTTGGCAGGGTCATCACGATCGTGGTATGCGACTACGTCATACTATGGTCATCACAAATTTGAACCGCCCTGCGCAGGGCCCTGGATATCAAGGAACGGACATACTTTTTTTGACATAAACGAACTTCTATTTGGTCTAGGGACTTCTAGGCAGGCTGCAAGCAAGGAACCAACTGGATGTTTTGGAACGGCTTTGAAGTATTTAGTCTATCTGTGATCGGAATGAACTTCCCCGACGAGAAAACAGAACACCGACCGGAACCATCGACATGCTGCATGACTGCGGATTTAACAGGATTGCAAACTTGGGATTTGATCTAACAAGCAAGCATGTGCGAACGAACGAACCAACAACGAACCAAAAAACACAAAAAAGAAAATCAGGAGCAATCTTTCGCGCAAAGAACCACAGGACAAAGAAAGAAAAGGAAAAAAAAAACAAAACAAAAAAACAAAGGCTGGAATTTAATAATAGAAAGCCCCTGATGAACACGGAGCTGGTTTATATTCGAAAGGGTATTCAGAGATTCGCTGCAAGAGATATATATAATAAAGCGTTGCGAGGAATAAACAGCAAAACCATCCCGAACCCTGAGAATCGCTGCAACACTGGCAAAATCGTTGGAAAAATCATTGAACAAAAGTCAAGATAGTGAAACGGTTGTCACTAGCTCTAAAATAAAAAAAAAGGAAGAGTGAGCCAGGAGTGTTTTAGCTAGTTGACTTTCGTAACTCGGCTTGTTTCTGTCCGCTGGGAGTTTAATTGTTCGGCGTTACGCTCGTGAGACTGCTTGCGACACTGTCACGTGAGAGTGGGAGAATTAGCGTCGTCTGACACAAGGTTGGTTGGTGGTTGGGAAAGAGAAAGAGAAAGAGAAAGAAATCGGAAATCGGGCAAACCTACATCTTCTAAATTTGGACAATGGTGGCTCTCAAGCAGTCGGTGCTTGCCGCAAAAGTGGCCATTGCAGAAGCTGCAATCTCCGATTATCCGCTGTTGGAAAGCTGTGCAGCCTTCAAATGTGCATCTAGGCTTGCCGCCTCCTCGCAGCCTCAGAACCAAATGTAAGGTGCTTTCTTTTTGGATGTTGTAATCGGAAAGAGTTCGGCCGTCCTCCAGTTGTTTCCCAGCGAATATGAGTCTTTGTTGGTCTGGGGGGATGCCCTCCTTGTCCTGGATTTTAGCTTTGACGTTGTCTATTGTGTCGGAAGACTCCACCTCAAGAGTGATGGCTATACAGCAGACACGTTAGTTGGCTCAAATTGTAATTTGACGTTGTACACGCGGGCATACATACTCTTGCCGGTAAGGGTCTTAACGAATATCTGCATCCTGGGCGCAAGTGAGGGTTGACAGTACGGCGCAACACGGAAACGTCCCGGTTAAGGATCAAGTTGGCAGGAAGATGAGTAGCTGGAGAAGTGCCTTCTAGGAGAGTATTTATGGCTTCGAGGCCGTTTGCAGGTATGAATGGGCAGATGGGGAAAGCGATGGAATCCGGGTGGCAAGAGGAATGTTGTGTCGGCGGCGCTTAAGAGACCAGTTCCAAAGATCCAAAGCTACAGTCAGTTGGACGATGAGAGCTGTAGAGGAGTGTTTGCAGCGACAGCAGAAATGAAGATGGCGATGAATGAAGGGAGAGAGAGGGAGAGGGAGAGAGAGAAGAAGAGAGAGAGAGAGAGAAGGAAGGAAGGGGGATAGGATAAGATGGAAGGGAACGGAGCTTTGTAATCTGGTGGCCACAAGAAGACCCAACTGCTGGACTTGAAGGAGGGAATAACTGGCTACGGACCATGTTACTTACCCACCAGGCCATGTGCACACCACCGCCCTGGGCCATGCAGCCGGATCTGGCCTGGCCGCGCCACACTGCCACAACAGGATCCTACCAAGCCACTTAACTTTTCCCAAAACGGCTTGTTACATAATCATCTAGCCTTGTTGGTTCGGAGTCATGTCCGGTTTACGGCATTACGTATTTCCTCACAATCCTTTGAGCTTTGGGCGGTAAAGCTGGAGGGAGAAGCTTACAAAATGAAAAAAAAAAAAATAGTAAATAACGGGCTAACAGGCTATATACACATCGATCGTCATATATCAGAATCTATTCATCAACCTCCTCATAGTATATCGGCGTTCCGTTCAAATAATGATCGTTGCGTAACCCTCGTCTTCGTGATGGTAAAACCGACCCGAGAACACCATCGGATATTTTGTAGAGCCATCCTCCTGCCACCATAACCCCACCGATGACATTGGCAAGTCGCACAATCAGGTATATCCACGGGGTGTGGGTATCCGTGATAGTGAGCATAATTGGCTCAATGTCAAACTTGAAGAAGATCCCAGGAACACTCTGAGGGTTCATGCTGCGTCCTTGCTCTGTAACACTGTATTGGTTCGTTTGGAGCGTCCGACCGTGCGCTTTATATGTTGTAGGGACGACGGACATGAAGTATTGATATCTATAGAATTCTACGCGACCAAGAAGAGTAGATAGTCAGTAAGAACTCATTGAAACTCGATTGTAGAAGAATGCCTACTATCTTCGGTAACTGAGGCGACCCCGTCCAACGGGTTCACCAGTTTTGGGTAGAATTCGCCGAACGAGAGCTCATTCACAACATGGCTGAAATTAAAGGCTAGATAACAAGTAAATATTCTGTCAGTACTCCCAAATCAATAGAATAGTAAGGTTGTAAATTTTGCTTACTGTCGTGGTCCACATGCTGGCCGGGATCCCAATAACCGTGGCCTTTCGCAGTGATATGGAAATCACCCATAACACGATTAACATCCATTGAGCCCCATATTCTACAGCTCTTCCCCTTCGGTCGCTTTGGGAGATTCAGCTTGAACTTCTTTTTCTTCCCAGCTTTCTTAATAACTTCTTCCGACCCGTCATATGATGGCCCTCCTTCTCTCGAATCTTTGTTTTTCAATTTCTGTGGCAAGGAATGTGTATCGGCGTATATGAAATCAGTGGAGGCCTTGTGCAAGAGGTCTCCGGCGAGAATTCTGTCTCCAGCGGCATCCTGAACATTGACATGTAGACTGTCGCACGGCATGGCCACTATTACATCGAGATTGATTTGCATAAAATGGCCCTCCCCGCCTTGGACGCTGAAGTGTTCTTCCGACTTCCCGTCCAGATAGAGGCTCAATTCGCCCCAAACCAGCCAGACGCAGATTGCCACGAACACCATTGTTATAACGCCGCCTTTCGATGATCTCGTCGTGTAGGATACTCGGGTTTTTGCTATAAATTTTAAGGAAATATTATATTTCGAGTTAGCTTCCTCTTCTCATTTTTTTACTTTTATTCTTCTTCCTTTTACGCCCACTTTAAAAAAAATTATCTGGGCCTTTTGTTCTATCAGCGAAGCTGACATCGTCCCATCGCGAATCGACCCGGTGTCGCAGCACGCGGGGAAGAGCATAAGAAAAAACAAAAGCGAAGAATAATCACATACGAAAGGCATCGAAGGATTTGAGTCCTTCGAACTCCTTCTTCTCATCCATGAATCCATCCATTTCGAAAGGTGTTTGCTGACGATGCCCGGTTTAGCGGTTTGAGTGGATGTGGTGGCATGTCGAGCTCGATGTCCAATTTCATCACGAATTAAAAGCAATGAGGCCAGGCTGGTCACCAAAACCTGCCAAGCGCCACACAAATAGAACGCCCATCCGGACAATATATCTGCCACCTGGGGTTTCATAGTCTACTTTGGAGGGTTTAGACGTCTGCATGTCACAATTATCATTATAGTTTCTTATCTATTCCGTTTCTTTGCTCTCTTAATCTTCCTTTTTTTTTTTTCTTTCTTTTTTTCTCTTGCAAGTCGGTTATGAATCAATGATATAAATTTGTTAAACTGCTAAATTTTCTCAGCGAATTCAGTTGAATCGCGCAGTTTTACCAATAAATGCCAGCCCTCCCAGGCGCCCAACTGCATAACCAGCATATATCCCCACTACTATCGTCACCGGCCATCTTTGCCAGTCGCGATCCCTACAAATTTATCACCAGGGTCATATCAGCGTTTGCAAAGTGATACATCGCCCGAAAACACCATTTCTTACCAATCTAACGGTATTGGAATAGCTCCAAACCACGCTCCAAGGCACGCTCCCAACGCGCCTCCGTAGACTTCATCCATCGGTAGATTCAACGAGATGATATCCCTCCATTTAGACCCTTGTACATGATAGGAATAAACCAAAGGAAATCCAGCCAGAACGCTCAAGTGTGCAGCACAAAGCGCGGTATGTGAAAGATCCGCCGTTATCGGGGCACCGAGTAGGACTATTACGATGAATATAGCCGGTGTACCGATTAATAGAGTCAAGAAGAGAGATAAAAACGCCGTCTGTGATGTTCCGACCCAGTTAGTCTATAGTCACTATCCATATGAATAATCATTGAGGGTCGAAGTCTACCATGATATTGGCCCCCACATCCTCCGTTTTCCCCTTGGAAGCCGATTTGACCTTTTTCTTGTTCCCGGACGCCACTGCCACTCTACTACTGCCGAGACATGTAGACGCGTGGATTATTTGAATTCCAATCGTTACCGGTAAAAGCTTCAAGAGGACGGCTGGGGGATCATTGACTAAATATGTGAACGTGGCATACAGAGCTCCCAGGAGGATTATTGGATGAGCATGTCGGACGGTTTCCGCAATTCCACTTCGTTCTACCATGTTGGCCATATCGTATGGCCCTATAACGGGTCGCAATTGTACATAGAGGTATCGGGTGTGATGTGCAATCAATTTGGAGAATTGGTTCGCGAGGTGGGAACAAGACAGTCTCGGCACCACGCAGGAAACAAGACAGGACTTAGCTTGCCAGCTGGTAAAACCCAACAAACTTCAACCTCACCACCACTGCAACAATGCAACGATCAAATTTTACACACCGGCAAATAAGCTCGTTTGAATGATGGATACAATCAGCTAGGAAACATCAAGTCAATGACCTATTAAACTAAAAAAGAAGAAAAAAAGACAACAACAACAACAACAACAACAACAACAATAACAGCGGTTGACAATCCGCTCTATTGTGAAGGTGGGGCTTGGCTATCCGTTTGGTTGATCAATTTTCGCAATGCGAGATCATAGACCACGTCCTCGATTTTCTTGACCTATAGAAGGAAACCCCATTAGCAGCGGCTTAAGCAAATTAAATAGGTCACTTAAATCATACGTTGTATTTTATACTATCGCTTCTCCGCCTCAGAGCGTCATTCTTGAGATTGAGCAGTTGGAACCCAGCATGAAGGTCCTTCACGAACTTGCTAATGAGCATTGGTCGTTGGTAGTCGCCCAACGTAACAGAGTTAACCGCAAGCCGGGTCTAGAAGAAACTTCGTCATTAGAACAACCCCTTGATACCATAGCGTTAATATCTCCGAGATTGTAAGATTGTAATACCAATTCCTCTATCAGATTGATTAGAGAGTGTAGATACTCTTCAAGAGAGAGATGAAAGACATCGGTTTCCCTGACGTTTACCGAAACTGCCTAAAGTCAGCATTGTGTCAAAAAGAAACACACTGGACGGTAATATCATACCCCCAAGCTTCTCGCCGACTTCCTTGATAGTCATCAAGCGACCTTCCTTTCGCTCTTCGTTTTCCGGCGTAAACGCCCCGAGCCATCCGGCCAGCACAATCCCGTATGACTGAGCAAAAAGAAAAGGGTAAATATGATAGAGCTTTACTTTGAGTAGGTTACTGGATACCCAAGAGGATAGTGCTTACCGCGGCTTGTAACTCCCTTGTCCATATTGAATTGTATCTATAAAAACCATTGACTAGTTAGGGCAATTAATCACCCCAAACCCAGTTCTTCGGATGTGCAACATACTTGTAGTATGGATATTTCGATGCAATAGCATCGAGTTCTTTTAAAGTATCTCGCTGCTGTTCAAAGAAAGGCTGTGCACTACTAAGTAGAGCTGCCACTATTGATTTTTTTAAAAGTCAGCCATGAGAGAAATTGGACGCTAACCAAGATTTTTTTGTAAAAAAACCATTAAACCTACAAGATGACGCAGGAACTGCGTGAACTCTAGATAGAACTGATTGGATTGAACGATCTATCCGATTAGAGGTATATGTTGTTAGCTCGCCAGCATCCCGTAAAAGTAAAACGCATTAAAACCACCAGGCGTACCATGCTTGTCCAATGACTTCAGAAGCCCCCGTATCTCCTATCGATTCAATACAAATATCATTAGCCTCATGAGAACGGGTAAAAATTTGTTGGTTAGTCCATTCAACGTACATCTCTAACTTTGATGTCTTCATCTATATCGGTTTGGACCTGTTTGAAAATCTCGGGATCAATCATGCCATCTACGGCTTGATTCGTTAAGTCCGCCATCATAGTGGAAATTCGATAGATGGTTTTCACTCTTTTTTATCTACGCGAGAGAGCCACGTGGGTGTCGGGGAGTACCTAAGGCTAGATTGTGATGTTGTAGGCGTGGAGGTTGTAGCTACGAACGAGGAAGGTTAACGAATCGTGGCTGTAGAAATGGTATGCAACACGTCGAGAGTCAAAACTGCAACAACATAAAAGGCAAAGAGCCAGGCACAGCGGGTTGCCTATGATTCTAGGTTCTCTTGTTCACTGGACTAATCGAAAAAGCTAGCTGTTGATAAAACCGACAGATGAGGCTAGAAAACCCAAATGAAACTTAAATTTTTGGATTATTTATCTTGTTTTTGTCGATATATATATATGTATATTCTACCCAAATCTCACTAGGATCTGTCATAAAGAATTGAACTAGCAATTCGAACTACATCACCGCAATCCATTCCAGATCCAGTTGATTCCCCAAATGTACTAAATATTAAGAGTAGTGCCAGTGCTCTTGTTTTAACAGAACGCTTCCAAAAGCCTCTAAAACGCCATATTCAAATAATTCAGAAAAAAGACATCCTCTTCTCTTACCGGAGAAATCCAATCCAAACAAAAAGCAACAATGTGGAATAAAATGAGGAGACCCCCTGGTGCATCTGACTTTTTCTTCTTATTTTATTCGTCCCTCGAACCCTATGCGCTTACCCGAAACCTCGGCTTAAAAATGGCAGAATATAGAGGGAGTATGAGTGCTGGCCACCATACAAAACATACAACAGTAATAAACCATCGTACAAGACCTTGTATGTCCTCGGTCACACTATGCGGGATGCTATATTGTGTTAGGTAGATAGACAAAAAAAAAGGTAAGGATAGAATCAGTCAACATACTTCATCAGTTTTTTTGTTTCGTCGGTTACAATACCGTCGACGCCCATAGATATTGCCCATCTATAATAAAAACGTAAGCATAAAGTTAAAAGATACCTGGGAAGGCTTTTAAGATCTGGGCAGTCCTACTTCATCAGGGTGGTGTCGTTAAGGGTCCAGACATAGACCTCCCGACCTCTCGACTGAGCCTTCCTTATGAAATCGCTCCCAAAAGGCCCCACCACGCTCGGGAATAGTAGGTTGAAATTTGTGTCCGGGACATCGAGGAATTCAGCTGCTAGTGCAAGCGAATAGCCAATGAACTTAATTCAACAGTTAGCTGCAAATCGACTATATTATGTCCAAAATGTGGAACTCACTGTTATCGGAAAGCCAGAGAGGTATTTTTGGCAAAGCTATAAATGGATATACTGTCAAAACTAGGTGTTTAAAGTGGGTGCATATTCTGAAATATTACTGACGGGTACGAATTGAATATTCCAGCAACCCAACTGTATTCGACCGTGCCAGTATTCCGCGCTGCCATTTACACTGGATATAGCTTCTGCTATTGCTAAGATGACGTCTTCAGCAATGTTATCGGTCTTCGACATGTTTTGTTAGCTTTTTTTTCATTCGCAAAACTTTTATAGCTTGAAAAAAAACTCGAAGACCCACCTTGATATCAAGCATTAGCCATATATTCTTGTTTTCCGGCAGATCGAGAAATTGCACAAGCTCAGATAACCGTGGCATGGGGACGTGAGGTTCCTTTATAGTCCGAAGAGTCTTGAGGAACTCCCAATCGTAGTCGATGACATTTCCTTGTATGCCATAGCATCGTTTTAAGCTAGCATCCTAATCGAACGTAATAACAAAGGGGGGGTTGCAGTTAGCTTTTATATTATGGCTGTGAGGTTTAATAAGATATAGAATAGAATATTTGATGAAAAAACCTACATGTGAAAGAACCGCCACACCATCCTTCGACAAATGAATGTCTGTTTCTAATGCATCTGCACCTGCTTTAATTGCACCTTTGAAGGCCATCATCGTGTTCTCAGGCCAATGGAATCTCGAGCCTCTGTGGGCGATACATTGCACATTGGAAAGTGCTGAGTCCCCAGGCACCAACGGGCTTTGTATCGAGTCAAGAGCGGCTGGAGGCGGAAACCAGTTAGCGAAGAAGGGATGAGAAGAGTGAAGAAATGGAAGAAAGGGAATAGTGGTAGCAAGGGCATAGGAAGCGAGATTGAATGGGAGAGGTACCAAGCATGTCGCTTTCATTCATGACCTTTTCATAGGTCATTGTGGGGTACTGAATACGCCTCGCGGCTATGAGAGGTGCCGAAGTCGATTATTAACGCCGATGAAGCTTACGAAATCAACAAACTAGTCTGGAGGCTGGACCTAGGATTCTGCGGAGTGATATATAATAAAGAACTTGGGTCGCTATCGGATGTCTTGAATTATAGAAATCGAATTGTGTGTTGTGACGAATACAGAGCAGTGAATTACCCCCCTTTGTGTAGCAAGTTCTTTCAGCGATTCTAGTAACGTTCACCTGCACGAAGACAGCATATATTTGCGAGAGAAACAAAGAAGAAGAAAAACAAAAATAAAAATAAAAATAAAAAAAAGACAGAGAGGGAAGAGGGAAAGGAGGACGAGGAAGACGAGATGGAGGAATAGAGGGAGAAGAAAGAGAAGGAGGAGGAGAGGAGCAGAAGAACAGAAGGAATTTGGATCGAGATGGAGGAAACAAGGAAGAAGTGGCCGTGGCCGTGGGCGCTGCTGGCAGGGAAGCTAAACGGACTAGTTCGATCAAGCGGCAGTGGACCAACAGGGATAAGGCTCGCTGATACCCTGAACGTTTCGAGGCATTTGGAAGATGAATGCCAAATATGTCGCAGAGCTGGCCAAAAGGTGCGTATTTCAAACCCGATCTGGAACGCTGCAGCCCGCAGCCCGCCTGATTTGGAATACCCATGTTTCCAAATCCGCATCCCCTGCTCGCTTGGCACCTGACGTTGCCAGATCGGATCGCGATCGAAGCATCAAGCTTCTGCCACGCGCCACGATGGCACGACGTACCCAACTAAGCTTTAGAAACCCAAAAGCTCGTCAACAAAGAAAGATCGTGTTATCATGATGCATGTTAAAAACGTGGGATTAAATGGTAATAGCAATTAACGCAATTTTATAGTATATAATAATGATAATAAGCGATATTGGCTTATATAAGTACTTCTTAGTATTTGATAATAATGTACATACGATATCTGTCAAGCTTACGCTATCCACCGGAACGCCTAGGAAAAGAGAGAAGAAGGAAACAAGGAAAGAAAAGGAAAAAGAAAAGAAAAGAAAGCAGGACATTGCCAGTAACGACTGAGCATGCACAAAACCAGAAACAGGGAAAGGGCATCCAAACGCCTAAAGTCCGACAAAATTGCTCGAATAGGGAATATTGAAAAGTAACACGCAAGGCAAAGGCCCGAAGGAATCAAGGCTGCAGAGCCCCGCAATAGCCAAAGTAGCTTGCAAAGAAGAAATATAAAACAAAAGGACGTAATTCTATCCAAATTTTTTAAGACTCTGTCATATTCGACGGACTATCTTCAGTTTGGAGGTTCCGGAGAATATCCGGAATCAACCCGTCAACTTCGTCCATTTGGACTTTCAAAGCTAGAGAAATCAACTTTCTGTAATCGTTCATACGACTCCCAATCCCAGCCAGAGCATACAGCTCGATAATCTTCTCAACCAATTGATTCCGTCCGTATTGTGCTTTAACCAGCTGTTTTGCGTTTTCGAATTGCTCTCTTTGTTCTTTCTCTAGCCCGGCTGCAGATGTTGGTTTGGTCTTAAAGACAGCCTTCCCTTCTTCATCCCGAATCAACCGCGCTAGTTCGAAGTATTGATTTCGCTCGATCGCCTTGCGCAGGGTTTCGGACTGCAGCCTAAACGTTTCTCGGGCATGTTGGAGATCCGATTCAAACTGGGCCTCGGACCCTACAGTTGCGAGCAAGGCCTCATACTGAGCCCGGGTGGCCTCGAGGTCGGCATTAACAGAGGCCAATAATTCCCTTGCCTGCAATAGATCCTCTTCTTTCTCTCGGAGCTCCATGTCATATGCCGAGGCGAGGTCTTCGAGTTTCTCTGCCATGAGAGGGATGAATTTTTGGGTAGCCTGCATTGCAGCTTCAGACACATGGGGCTGAGGGACACTGGCTGAATGGTTTAACGCATATTTTACGGCAGCAACTGTAGCGTTTCCTTGAGAAGAGCCCGGATTAAGCCGAAAGGAGGCTGGCAGCTGACTCGAATTCCCGTAACCATCGTATCCTTGAATAGGTGATGAACTGGCAAGCTGTCGATTTTGCTGCGCCATACTTCGTCGGTCTCTCTCGTACAAGACAATATATTCATCCGCCGTATGACCTTCCATGTTTGGGATATCAGGGCTTCCATGATATGCCAGCATCATTTGTACCAGTTTCCGAGCGCTGTTCTTCGCTGCGATTGTAAGAGCTGTGTTTCCTTCCATATCTTGTCTATCCAGCAAGGAGCCAATTTCTCCTTGGGGTTCGGTTTCTGAGAGCTTGAGAAGGATGACATTGCAATAGTATTTCGCGGCCAATAGTTTATTACGAGAACAAGTTGTCGCAGCGATATGGTGAAAGACTGTGGATGCAAAGGAATCGATGCACCCGATTGTGCTGCGGAGAATCGTTACAAGTCGAGGGAATGCCTTGCGGTCGTAGTTATTGGTGAATAAAACTGCCCGCATCAGCGGTGTCTCGCCACGTTTGTTCGTCATGTTGAAGTCCGCCCCGGCTTTCAACAAAAGCTCGACTACAGTCAAGTCTCCCATGGCAGCAGCCCAGTGAAAGGCAGTATGTCCTTCATCGTCGATGATTTCATTGACTTCGAAGTCCATCGGCGGATTTTCGAGGAATGGTGGAATTCCATTTTCGTTTGTCATAAAATAGTCGAGGAGCTCGTCACTATACGCAACCCTTCGACGGCGACTGATTTCCATAGGGCTTTCCATCATCGGTCCTCTCTTTCGTTTCCTACTCCCGTCCATCGGGAACTGTCCCATCCTGTCTTCGCCTCCCGAGGCATGTCCGTGTTCGAGGGGGTCAATTATAGAGGATTCAAGACCTTCAATTTCGCTAAGATCGCCATCCGCAGGTTCTTCTGATGGGAGTCGAAGTGGGCGTACCGGTTCGGCAGGTAGGACTGTGACTAGCTTAGGTGGTTCTAATTTATTGGAAGAAGAAGAAAAAAACCATTAGTCCTGGCGAAAAAAAACCATTTGCCATCTGTAACGTGGAGGATAATTACTAACTTGCAGCCTTTTTGGGATTTGCAGCCGCTTTCGGCCCGGCGCCCCTCGGAGCCCTAGGTTTCGCAGAAGCGGCTGTGACATGTTTGGGAGCAAGCGGCGGGCTCTCTGTAGTTGGTCGAAAGTTCACAATGGGGTCAAGAAGGTCTTCAACTTTATACTGGATGGCAATTTCCCGGCCCCGCTCTAGAGGAACCCATGTCCCTATGAAGAAATCAGGTCAGTCTGAATACTCTGTGAAAGGGAGGCTACACGAGCAAGAATGCCCATTGTGAACAGAACATACCCTGATATTTGCCGTATCCGCCTTGCACCTTCTCATGAAGGCCTCTTTGAACCTCACGTTCCAATATCCTAGTCCTTTGAGGTTTGTCGAAACCAGCCACCTTGAGGATCTGAGTAGCGTTCAACCACCCATCAGAGCGCCTGCGCATACACGCAATACTCTTACACAAGAATTCATAGACAGGGACCTATCATCACATTGTTAGCCGTGCAAGATCCTTGAGGGAGTTTCCCACACTTACACCACTATACGTCGCCTTGTAGATGATAGGATCCGGCATGATGTAGTAGAGCGACCCTAGGAGGAAATGAAGGGATAAGGGTGAGATAAGAATTGAAGAAGGGACGCTGATGCTATCGGTATGCCCAGCCGGAATAACAACCGTTGGGAAGTTTATAAAGGAATGGATATGGGAAAAGAAGGAGGTCGAGGAGACGTGTGTGGAGCGTGTGCATGTGGGCGCGTGTGTGGAGCGATGAGATCTAAAACGAACCGTTTGGGTTTTCTTGGCATTCCACCACTCTTCCCGACAACAACGACAACCCGTCGAAAGCCAAGCACCAACAGCTGGTTTTAATACATTCTCTCCGATCATATAACGCCGTCGACAGTACCGACGACGATAGCAACAATCACAATGTCTCCTCCAGTAGAAGTCCCGGGTACTCATGATATGTGATGCACTTTTGAGGTCCTCTGTCTATGGTACTAACAAGGAATGTCCATAGTGGTAACCGCCGAACAAATGTCGGAGGCTCGATTGCCTATAGCATACCGGGACCGATGCGCAGGCCTTCTGATACCCCTCAACCGGTGCCGTTTCGAAACAATGTACCTACCGTGGAAATGCGAGGTGCGTGGGCCTGGTTCCATCCTCCTTGTCTGAAGAATGCGGTTTCCTTATAATATGAAGACTGAACTAACGAAGATCTCCCGATATACGTTTATCACTCAATAGAACGAACGCCACTCCTACGAAAAGTGCCAATACGACGAGTTCATGAAGAGAGTCAAGAAGATGGAGGAGCTGAAAGCTGCAAACCCCGGCATGAGAGCCAATTGATGACGTATTGGAAGCTCAATTGCAGGACGGTCACAGGTTACAGCGTGGGTACGCTGCTTTCAAGCGTTTGTACATAAACATATAGGGCAGAATTTTTCGCTACGAATTTGGCTCGAAATTAGACCAGCTTGTGTACATTCATTGGTTTAGGCCTACGGTTCTAACTACCAGACGACTCATAAGGGTTCGTCACATTTATACCCATGGAAGGTTTGTGTGGTTAAGGGCTATGGCTGGGGGTGCAAAAGGATAGCTATTTTTGACTCTGATCATGATTTGGCCTTTAATTGTAATGAAAGTTTCTATCACAGTGCTGTTTCTATCCAATAACGTAACTACCTCCCTTTTTTGTCTTGGAAAACAAAAGAGAAGGAAAAGGCCGCCTCTCTCCTATCTTTTCTCAAAAAGGCCCTTCCAAAGATTCGTTCCTTTACCCTCACCGTTTCCCAGCGTTTCGGCAGCTTTTACCAGGTCATAGTTGACAGTGGCATTTACACAGCTGTCCTTTTCGTAGTCTGGGTGACTGTGAACAAAGTTTCGAATCCATGTGGCAGCAGTCTCCCATGTCCCATTCGACCGCTTCCTGATTAGATCAAGGTATCGGGCGAGTTCGCATCTCGTTTCGACATCCACGTTTACTGAATTCAAGTAGGACTCGATCAGAGTGATCAATCCCGGGAACCCATCCTGGCCAGCCTGCCCGTTCATAATCTCGTTGACTGTCATCAAACAATATTCATCCTCAACAGGACCAAGTTCTACAGGCTTCGGTGTATTGGATGTTGAGCCGCCGGGGCTTGCATTGGAACTCTTGCCACTCCGGTTTGCGTAACGGGGCGGAAACACTTGCTTTCTGAAATAGAACTTTTCGGAAAGAACTGCATCCCGCCGATGAGCTGTCTCCATGTTTTCAGTGACCTGTTGTACAGATAGCGCCAGCCTGTTAGCACACCCCTACAGAATCTTCGATACAGAGTAACGTAACAATAGCCACGTGGAAGAGCAGCCATTCAAATCCATTAGACAGCGGACCCATCCATCATGTCCACATGTTTCCTTCTTTCCTCCTTCTTTTCAGTTGTACGGAATAAAAAGCACCCACCTTGGATATCGGTATATAGAAATTCAATCCGTAAGAAAGAATAGTCCGGGTCAGGAGAACGATAAAAATGGAAAATGCCGCATTTTCAAAATCGGTTAACTGCACCTCCATGCTTCTGAACTCTACTCGCCATCCTATCGCATCCTCAGCGCTGGGTGGCGGTTTAAAGCGCATATGCTGCCAATTCGTTGATTGGATGTTCTGTTATTGTTGTTAGATTGTGGGTTCACAACATTTTGGCTTCGGAATTACCTCAAAATTGTCGTTATTTTCAACAGAATAATTGTTAATACTCTCGCTGAAGATAACCAAAGGGTCGCGAATGAACAAATGAGCAAAATGTTTCGCCAATGGCTCGTCCATTCCTAGAAATCTCACTTGTCAGACCATCAAATCTCATCGTTTCCCGCACTCCACAATAACAAACATACCGCCATCGAGTAACTTCTGCTTCAGCGGAAGGTTTTGGTGGATATCAACATCGTTGTACTCTGGTCGATAACCCGGATCTTGTGATATGTAGGTTGAAACCGAGTCATACCTAGATTTCGGAATGACATACTTGTTTTCGTTGAGCGGCTGCAAGGATTTTTGTTTAAAATAAGTCATATGTAGGCACCAGCGAACTCGATCGAGACAAGGACACGTACCTTCAAGCCTCTTTCTTCTTCCGTACGATCATCGACTGCTCCTGATATAATGTTCCAGCGGCAGTCGATATCTGTCAGATAACCCTTGAATATTGGACTTGCAGCGGAAAGTGCAAGCATGATTGGCCCAAGTGGGCAGAGCTGATCGTACAGGGTCCGGGCCTCGCTGATGTTTTTGGCTTGAAAGGTTATCTGCAGGCAGCATGAACCCATCCCAAACCCCATGGCATCCATGTAGACGTGTCCATCTTTGGCAGCGCCATTTCGGACGTCTCCATCTTCAGGGTAGTCGGACAAATCATATTGAACGGTGGGATCCTTGAACGGATTCGGGGTCTTCTCATCATAAAATACAGGAAGATTGATACACACTTTGCTGCCTCGTCGTGACCTAATATTCGCAGTGAGAGTAGGAAATCGGATATGTTGATTAATAATTTCATCGGGAACGAAGATGCTTCTGGCGATTGGTCCATGTGGTGGGTAGTATGGTTGCGTAAATGCTCCCGGTACACCGAGCCGCGGGAAAGATGTCATAGTAATTGGAGTCTCGTTTTTGGTCATATGCTGCTTTGCAATCACTCGTCTGACCGATGCGCGCATGTCAGGAAAACTCTGGCAGATGCATGGCCAATGTGATACAAAGTACCAGCACGGTGAATGTAGAATTTTCTGTCTAACCTTTTCTTCATATCTGGCTCAACTGTGAGGAGGTCCCGTAGCGTTCCCCCATAGGGGGCGCCGGGGGTTGCTTCAAGCATGAATCTACCATACTCGGCGTGGAAGGTTGGTACTCGTTGGCCAGGTTTTCTAATGTCAGGGAATCACAAAATGGAAATAAATGCCAATGTGATCTTGTTAGCCCATTACCGCCGTCAACTTATTTTTGGGAGAACCCAAGAAAGAAATAAAAATAAAAATAAAAAAAATAATGAAGAAGCTTGTACGCACTGACTGATTTCTTGCAGACTTGGGACGCAGCCACCCGCCTTCCGCAGCTCCTCGTCATGCGCAAGATCCTTCAAGATCTCGGCTTGTCGTAGGGACAGTCGTGCATCTTTGGAATCCTCGTCATATGAAACGACTAGATATTCGATCTAAAATTGCCACGCGAGAAATGTAAGACGAGTGTCACCGGGATGTATCGTGGGAGTAACGGATCCGTAAGGGTGATTGCAGATTTTCTCTTTTAGTTTTATGTCACACAGAAGACGGAGAGCGGCATTGTGCCATTAGGACGGTGATAATGATAGAACCCCCGAGGGATTCTATTCGTTTTCACTCTCAAGGTTTGTGCAGGTTCTAGGTTGGAACACTCGAGGAGGCACGGTGAGGAACATTGGGAAATGAAGGAAGAGGAAGTTCGAAGTTACCTCGTCGCCCCAAAGAAGGATATCTCTCTCCTTACTCTTGGCCTTTTTCCAGATATTCAACAATTGCTTTATAGGAGTCCCATGTCAGTCATCTGGTATATCGAAATTTTGTCTAGTATTGTGTCGACTGGGGTGTACCGGCTTCGATACCCACCTCGATTCCTCGTTCGCGGACCAGATCCGCATGAGGCTTTGCTTCCTCCCAGGTTAGAGGAGTTCCTAGAGACCTACAATCCCATGAAAAAGTCGTCGAAGCAAGGTCAGCCCGGCAATGGATAAACTGGTGTACTACCATATAGAGAGTGTGTGTTAGAGAAAGATCGAACGACGGACTTACAGTAACCCCATTTTTGATCCGGATATATCTCTCTTGCCGCAAAGCTCGAACACCGGGTTTATTTGGAAAAGAGCGTTAGTCTTCGAATATCAGGTTTGGATGGGCCTGGCGCACAGAAACCCAAGTTTCTGAGATAGTTGTGAAGTCGAATGAAGGTTAACAAAACTGCATCTGGCTACATCGTCAAGCTACTTAAGTGCTTCCTCCCTTACTACTTAGTAAGAAAAGACTTATGTAATATACGAAGAAAAAGTATCCCTTCCTGCCACCTCCAGCGCAGCTTACCTAATCCTTCCGGTCGACTTGATTGGTGTTGCATTGCTTTCTCTCCCATGTTTCCCTCCCACGCGGGCATCTGATCTTTGAAATGCCCCACCAAGGAAAGTCCATACGATTGCATCACTTCAGAGAGTCCAATATCGGCAGCTTAGAACAGTGGGCGGGCAAATCACATCTGAATTGTGTTCCCAGACTATGGGATTGCATTGGTAAAGTTATCAGCTGAATTATTCAGCCTGCCATACGTCTCCGCTGGCAATAATATATAATACACAAAAAGGGAAAAAAAAAAAAAAAAAAAGACTCAACCAAAGATGAAGCCTATGGGACTCCAGCATGTAGCTTGAACCGCCTCGTAGAACTGCACAAGTGAAAAGAAGATGTAAATGGAGGGGGGAAAAAGAAAAAAAAGAGGGGAAAAAAGGAGGCCGGACACGAGAACGAAAAGACAGAGAAAGGGTAAACTTTGGGGGTCGCCCTTGCTTCTGGATGTCGAATAAGACAAAAAAAAAATTAGGCTTGAAGGCTTCGAGATCACCTGTGAAAGGTGTTCTTCAATTCGCAAAAAAAAAAACGCCAAAATGAACCCCTCGGTATAAAAAAAAAACTCCGGGACGCCGTCGGGAAGATGCTTTACAGCAAAGTGGTGCATCAGTACAAAGACGGTAAAAATGATGCCAAAAAAAATAAAAAATAAAAAATAAAAACAGAAGGGAGGAAAAATAAAAATAAAAAAGGGCAGATCGAGGTATGAATATTCATGACAGTTCCGTATCAGCATTAAGCATATGCAGGCTTATCTCAAGGTAAATCAGGTAAAAACGAAAAAAGGAAAAACGGTGTCAATTAGTGCATCATTAAAGTGCACAGGAATATTTCGAGAACTGTCGAATCGCAAGATGCCCCGTATGACCGAGTAAGTCGGGCCTGGTTACATCAAAGACGCTGAAGCCGACTTCCGGGCTAGTGGGGAAGGGTTGATCGAAGCAGATGCATTATTATTTTTGCTCAACTTGCGAGTCAATTTTGCGTAATCTGCGGTAGGTATTTAGTAGATTGTTCTTTCATAAAATCTGAGGAACCGGTACTTACGCAAGCCACAAGCGTTACAAAGAGTGCGAGCACCGTCAGGGCCACGACGCCATTCGGGTGTCTCAGCACGATTACAACTATGACAGCGGCCGGGCGGAGCCGCTTTCTTTACACAGGTTAGAATAAAAAAATTTTTATTAAAAAAAAAAAAAACTGTTGGATATATACCAACGGAAATATCATTTGAACTTACTCCTTTACGTTGCTTTTTGGGGTCTGGATGCAAAGCACCCCGCATATCATCGCCGGCATAGCTCATGTCATCATCAATGTGGTCGATCGATCGCTTGGGCATGGGCTTCACAGTATTAATCTGTTGCTCATGCTTTCTGCTTTGATCGCTTACGACTTTGGTCCGCCAATACTGCAGCGCATCAAGAATGCGATGCGTTATACTTATAGCGTCGTCTAAGGCCTGGATCGAGGGCTCGATCTGGCCAGAATATTTTAGAGCCTGGAAGCCTCCTGGCTGACCCCCTTGCGGCGTGTATTGCGTTGAGAAATGATACAAATGGGATGCATTATCCCGAATCTGATCAGACACATTTGTCAGTATTATGCATTCACTTTATTTCATTTTTTTAACCGCCGAGAAAGGGAACAAGGAGTTCTTCTTTACCATATCTAGATTACGCCGGAGCTCTGAAATGTCAAGGGCTCTGTTGATCGCCGACCCGTACGTATCCTGGAAGCTAGTCTTCCCGCTGATCGATTTTCCTTTCGGAGAAAATGGGCCCTCGGAATGGCTGCTCGGTTCGTTTCCATAAGGCCCTCCCCGAGACTGGTATGCATACAGTGCCGCGGCTTGACCTGGAAATGGCTGATTCCCGGACGCAGATACTCCACCAGACTGATAATTAGAATTTGAAGGCGTATGAGCAGGTGGTGGGGGAGGTGGAGGAGGGGGGGAATCCTGATATATGAGGAGAGATCTGGACGTATTGTTGGTGTTCATATGAAGAGTGATTTTGCTCATACCCATGTGTATAATGAGTTTGAGGTGGTGGCGGTGGAGGAGGAGGAGGAGGGCGTCCGAATTGATTCTCGTTTGGACCTGGTTGTGACCTTGGCGAACCTTTCATGCCATGATCGGACGAACCGTAGGGCGGGTAAGTTTCAGAAGCCTCACGATTGGGGAAGGGTAGGCCGGGCCCGTGGTTTTGCTGAGGGGTCGCGTTTCGGCTATGAGGGCCGGGCTTATCAAGGAGACCATTATTAGGAGGTGGGAGATTAGTCGTCGGTGACGAGTGATGACTACTAGGCGGCCGTAATGCTGAAGATGGAGGCAAGGGGCCTGATGATTCTGAATCATACAGAGGCCTCGGCGGGAAAGAACGAGATATACTCGAGGAAGGTAGAGCGGAGCTTAATGAAGGTGGCCCAGACGGGACGCCTCCTGTTGAGACTATACTCGAAGGCTGATAATTTGCAGGGAGGGCATCAATCATCTGGTTCAGAGAAGGCAACGAAGGAAGGGTTATAGGTCGGGATGGATTAACATGACGAGAGGATTCATCATCCCTTTCGCTCGTTCTTCTGGACTCCGGTGGAGATATTATATAGTCGTTCCCCTGGTGTTTTGGCAATGTGGAGGATGCTGATAATGGAGAGGCATACTTTGGAGTCGGGCTAGTTGGGGTTATGACGGCTGAGCTTCCTGGATTTTGCCGATGTGGTGAATACGAATCATCAGATGTGCGATCAAATCGCGGATAACCAAGCGATGGCAAAGTATCGCTAAATTTTTCGGGTTGGAGAAGTTAGTAACATGTTGCATCCATGCGTAAATATATAAGTATTGAAGGTGTGTATATTTGATCATGTCGCGGAAGAGCGACTGACTGCTATGTGTTCAACGAGCGAGCTTCAGCTCGTTGGGAGCTTTCAAGCGAACAGGCCTTGGATATAGCAATTGAAAATAATTAAGACAAATATGATAAGGCTTCAACAGAGGGGGTAAACAAAACAGCGCGATCAATGGAGTAGTTGGAACATTCGGAGTATATCCTTACCTTTTTCTTCTCTCGTTCTCCGAAGTTGATCCCATATCTGCTACCACCTCAGCCTAAAGCCTCGAAACACACAGCACCGGGCAAGTTGAACGTGGGAGAAAGAGTGAGGCAAGCCAGACAACAGGTGCGTCTCCCAATGCTATCCTGCTGATCAACTATGGCCGCTGAGTAGGCGACGGAGCTGTGGAAAGTTTACACTTGGAAAGTAGAAATGGTACCACTTAAGAAGTTAAAATTTGAGTCGTTCGCCAAAAAAAAGAACGATAAATAAAATAATGATAAAGATCAAGACACGATAGAACTTTTGGTAGGTTCGCGGCTTCGATTGCTTCTATCGTCTTCTAACACGAGCTCGGGTCCTTAAAATATGGATAAGTCGTATATATAGTTCAAGTAGATGGGCGAAGCAGGACTAAGGGTCGATTGGACTATGTAGGGAAAAAGGAGTGGTTCGTATTCGTCACGGGAACTTTGAGAGTATGGGGTATGAAACCAGGAAATCTTGAGGAATGTATTATATGTATCACCGGTGGCGTCGAGGCGTAAGAAGTAGCAGTAGGGAAGAGATGAAGATATGGTAGACTTTCTATGAACGGTTGTGTTTTTTTTTCGTTCTCTTATTATTTTTATTTTGGATTCCGTTGTCGTGTTTTTACGGGATGCCAGCGGGTGTAGCTTCGGTTTTTCGGTTGTGGAGTTGTTGAGGAAGTCGTGGGCAAACTAGTGACGAGAATGGTCCGAGGAAACTGATAAGTTTCATTCGATACTCAGCTGGTGAAAAAAAAAAAAAAAAAAAAAAAAGAAAAAGATCGAAGATCGAAGATGAGGCCAAGAACCAGAGCTGAAGTGGTTGTCGATGTCGTGAAAATCGAGAATGGGATTTTGGGTGGCTGAAAGATGTGGCCAATGGGATGGTATGTGATGTAAAAGGGAAATGATGTAGGTGATGGAAAAGGTAGGATATAATATGAATATGGGTACGAGTACGGATATGAATAGAAATATGAAGGGGGGGGAGGAGTGAGAGGAGGTGGAAGAGGAGGAGGATAATGATGAGGAGGAGGAGTAGTAGGAAGGGAAGAAGGAAGAAGGGAGGAAGGAAGGATTGGAAGAAGAGGTAACAGTATGAACGAACAATGGCTGGCTGGCTGGTTGGCTGGATGGATGATGGTGTAAGGCGAAGAGGGAACTAAGAGCTAAGAACCAAAGAACTAAGAGGGGCTTCTGCCTCTGCCTCTGCCTCTGTTTCTTTCTGCCTCTGTTTTTTTCTGCCTCTAATTTGTGGATTACAGTACAGTACAGGTCAGGTCAGGCAGTGGATTGAAAAGTGGATGGGTGGATGGATGGATATGTAATGTCAGTCGGGATGTGATGTACACCTCCAAGTCCAAGTCCAGGTACAAGTGCAAGGGCAAGTGCATATATGTACCCTTCTTTCTCTCTTTCTGTTTCTCTCTTTCGCTCCCTCTCTCTCTTTTTTTTAATTTTTTTTTTTTTTTTTAAAAATAATAATAGTAATAAACAAAATAAATTTATCCGTTACTGCTTGGTTTTGCTATGAGAAGAGATGAGGATGGAGACGAGGAGTGGAAGAAGAGAGGAAGGAAGGGAGGAGAGTAAAGGGGATGGGGTGAAGAATGAGGGAAGGAGGGAGGGAGAAGAGGGAGAAGAGGGAGAAGAGGGAGAAGAGGGAGAAGAAGGTGAAGAAGAAGAAGAAGAAGA